CATGGGTTTGGGGTTCATGGGTTTGGGGTTCATGGGTTTGGGGTTCATGGGTTTGGGGTTCATGGGTTTGGGGTTCATGGGTTTGGGGTTCATGGGTTTGGGGTTTGTTTGTTTTTGTGTCGGAGGTTTTGGGTTCGGGTGTTGGAGGTTTTGGGTTCGGGTGTTGGAGGTTTTGGGTTTGGGTGTTGGAGGTTGAGGTTTCGGAAGGGATGTGTTTGCAAAGTTTTATTGCTCTTAATATTATCCTCGACCTCTTCGTTCAGAAGATTTTTATGTGAGGTGCCGCATAAAGGATTCAAACTGATGAGGAAGACGAAATAGCTTTAAGTCGTATTAGATTAAATAAGTTGTGCAAAGTAGAGCGAGTTTCATCGGGATTCACACTTTGTTGGGAGTCGATGAAAATCGCTTTATGAAAATGGTATTTCTCACCAGCACGCGACTGCATCTTCCACTATCACGGCTAGGTTATCTTCTGAAATTCCAAAAAACCAAAAATATTGACATTTTCCGAAGAATCAGAGTGCATATGTTGGGCTACTAACTATCAAGATTGATTAATTATTCAGATCTATGATTATATCATGTGATTTTCCTTCGTTTACCATATTTTTATTTTCAGTACCACACAAAGCATGTCCACGAGAAAATTAGACAAATCGCACATGGACGCATATCGGCGTAGAAGTGTCCGAAGAACAAAAATATTTGATTTTGAAAGTGTCAATGCGTTTTTCGTCGTTTCAAACTTATTTTAGATCGTGAGAGAAGATGTCGCCCATATTTATCATAGAGGTGGAGAGGAGATAAAGATTGTTGGATGATCAAAATGGGTGCTTTGGAGTGGTGTCACCCAGTACAGGTCTTCTTTCATACATGGCCTCTTCCATAGAGAATTCATGGTCAAAAAATATTGATAGTTTTATGCGATGACGAAGAATTCAAAAGAACAGCATGATGACGATGGTTGCATGTGGTCTAATTTTTCCTACTTTTACTTTTGACAGATTAATACTTGTCTGAGATGAGCATGGGTGTCGAATCCTACTACTGCTTGATTATTATTTACTTGTACTTTTATTACTAGCAACTGCTTACAAGAAGCAAAACCCTGCATTTTTGAAAGACAGAGAGATGAAAATGGCAGGAAGAAAAAGAAAAAACACAGAAAGTAGAAAGATCAGCAAAATGATGTGTGCTAATGACTTAGGTTCACCATAACAAGTATCGTTATCAATGCAACAAGTAGTTGTCCAGCCTGAAGTTCAACTTCTGTGGAGCCTGCTGGCGGAGACAGTACTAGGAGATAGGTACTCACGCACGACCGAAGTGATCTTTCAGGTAGAACAACCTCTTTTCGAAAAATTGTTGCAAAGCGGGTATGGAGAGTGTGAGTTGAGTCAGTGGTGGATATTTATTGACCTTTCAGACAGTGCATTGATCCTCTGTTTGATCGAAGACATTAAGATTGAAAAGAGAAAGTCCGTTGTTGTGGAGCAGACACGCCCTCCATATATTTATCTGAGTGACTATATAAAGTGGGTGAATGAGATTAGCTCGTGTTGGAAAGGAAAGAATGTCTCCCATGATGCCAGTAACAGACCAGACGGCGGCTCGCACGACGAGCAGTGTCCTCCAAGCTGACGCGTGTATGCCACGCTCCCCCGTCGCAGCGACAGCAGTCTCCGTTGTACTACTAACATATGTAGTAGTAGTCATAGTTGTAGTGGCGGTGCTCTACGATTTAAGCTGTAACACGAAGGATTTCACTAACTTTCCACTATTTTTATTGCAGATGGTAGGGCTCTATCGTCTTGAAATTATCCGATGCACGGTATCAAGAGTTAGGGACAGTGCAAAACCAATTGACACCAGGTCGACACGGACATTCCGTGTGGCTCTGCTAGTGGCACGGCAGGTAAGAAAGACGCAAGAGCCTTGTGCCAGGACCTTGAAGCGATGCGAAGTCGAATTCGCTCGCTGCACGACCAGTATAGCGATTCGCTCAGTTCCGCAGGACGGACGCTTGACCAGATTGAGGAGCAAAAGGAAAAGGCAGTCCGTGTAAATCATGGTCAGAAAGTAACTCATAACGCTCCTAGTGCGGCTACGGGGACGACGGCGATCAGTGGAAACTCATCTGGTAGTTTGCAGGAAAAGCAAATAGATGATGCACTTTCTGTAGGAAAAAGTGTTTTCAGCGCTCTACCATCTGCTGATGCTGCAGGCGGTGGAGGCGGACATATGGAGAACAGGAGACGAAGGGATACTGCAAAAGGTGTGGAAAGCACTGGAGGGAACTTTTCCAATGGACTAGCGAGCTCGATGGCACTATCTTCTAGCAGTAGTTCCGAATCACAACTTCGTGTTGGACAGTCGCCATCTTCATCGTCCTCGGGACCTGCTGGTGGGAATCAGAAAATATATCCAGTACCAGTCTTCACTAGTAGTACTACTACTGCTACTAGTAGTTGTTTTCTACAACGAGGAGGACACAACTCCTGTCCAAGTCGAGAGCAAGGAAGTCGCATTGCTGTGGAGTCACTGCTTCAATTTTTGGACCAGGTGGATGCAGAGAACCAAGAGCATTTAGCTGACCTGGATCGCAGGTCTGAAGAAGAGGAATTGTTTCGCACGAGTACAACATCATCGACTTCGACGAACTTGAAAACAAAGGACGGTGATGGTACCAAGAATGGACCAAACACGAGCACGACGTCCTCATCTTCAGGGGTAAGAGCAGCGGCGAACCTCAATAGACCTCAAACTACAGCAGGTCTGGTGAGGGATAAGATAGCACTCTTGGAAATGGAGATGGATGATAAGCGAAAAACGATAAAGACTCTCCGTTTGGCCTTGGAGAAGCAGAAGGCCGACATGCAGGAACGCGAGGCCGAGTGGCGTCGGGAAACTGAGGGTCAACTAGCGGCACAGAAAAAGGAAACAGAAAACCACTTGGAACGGCAGTTAGCTTTGTGCGACCGTTTGCTAAAGGAGAAAACGGACCTAACGAAACGTGTATCCTCACTAGCAGAAGAATTGCGCACAGCAGAACGTAAATTCGCGAAAAAAATGGAGGAAGCTGAGGAGGGTACTCTACGGATTTTTTCAAGTACTTCTACTAACTTGGTAATGCATGAAATTATACATGCATTTTCAAGGAGGAGAGGGTCCTTCTCGCCTTGCACCTTTTATTTGCAGTGAAAAATCTAACCAATCCATGATCATGACCTCCACCCATCACTCGTCCATTTACGACAACTATTGCTTTTTCATTTATCTTCGTTCTTGGTGACCTCTTTCAGCTCACGCAAAGGACGTTGCACGACAGAAGCAGAACTGGACCACGCAGGAGCGGCTTCGAAGAGAGGCTTGGGAGAAGGAAAAAACCCGTGAGATCAAAGAAGTAACGATAAAAGGACTCGAGCCCGAGGTAGAGCGGATTCTCAATGGCCATCGAACGGAGAAAAAACGACTGGAAGACCGTTTTTTACAAGAAAAGGAGGAGCAGAAGGCGGATATAGAACAAAGGTAAGGACAGGCTTTGATCTTGCTTTGCTCTTTCTTCTACCTTGACATGATCAGTTCAATTGTCATGTTTGCAGTTCTACTGCGTACTAACAAGCTTACAAGGTGAAGGTTCTTGAGCATGAATTTAAGGCATCGACTGCGGCAGGAGCAAGCCAGCAAATCGATGTCATTGCTTTGCACAATTATTTTTCAGGCACGAGCGCCGCATCGCTGAGTTGAAGGAGGCGCAACGTCGCGAGATCGAGCGCGCGCTCGCGGGAAAGCAGGACGAACTCGAGGAAAAGCTTGGGGAACACGCAGGGCGGGCCGAGAAGCAATTGATACTCGAGCGAAAACAGCGCCAGGAGGAGCTTCGACGCCTGCGCGAGGAGGCAGACAGCGAGCGTGTGGAGCGTCAAGCCGCTTGGGATCGCGAAATGCAAGCTGTGAAGGAGCAGCGAAACGCCGAGTTGGAGGAGCGCGAGACCTACTGGCGCAGCGAGCAGACCCGGTGGCGAACAGAACGCGCCGCAGAGGAAACTCAGTTTTCTGAACGCGTTGCAGCGAAAGTGGCTGAGGCTGAGACTAGGGTGCGCGCGGAGAGCGGGGAAAAACTGAAGCTAGCAGAAGCAGCGATGCGAGAAGAACTCAAAAAGAAGCAGTTATGATTTATTGAGGTTTATCGATAAGATCTACTCTCTGCTTGTACAACTTATTCACCGTCAAGGCATAGTCCTCATCGGCTACAACTGTCACTGAAATCGTCAACGTGAGGAGTCTTCCGCAGTTCTCCTTTTTGTAATTGATTCTGCTGTTGTGGTTGTCCACTTCTCGATTCTAAGCTGACTCTGGGAGATAGAGCAGTTGACGACGCGGCTAGGCAAGGAGCAGCTGGAGCTAGAGCGAAGCATGGCGTCAAAACTGGACACTGAGAAAAAGGCTCTGTGGGAGCAGATGACTGTCGAGACGCGTACTCTTTCAGCCCGTGTGCAAGAACTAGTCACGGAGAAGGCAAAGCTGGAATCAGAAGCTGTCGAAGCGGAGAAGACGAAGCTAGGAATTGCGGCTCAGCGAGATACACTGAGCACAGAGCTGGTTGACGTAAAGAATCGACTGAGCGCGACTCTGGAAAAAAGCGAGCTTCTAGCTGATCAAGTCGCAGAGGACAAAGAGGTCATGAAAAAGGAAATGGCGAAAGTTATGATAGTACAACGACACTGTTTATTTTCCAAATTGTTGACCCACGACCCAGCGTGAAGGGATTGTTGTAACACTCAAAAAGGTCCTATGAAGATATTGTTGTAATCTAGTGCAAGTACTCAAAGAAAAGCACTAAGTTTTTCGCTTCATCAATAAAGCATATTGTTGTACTAACACCACAACAACAACTTTTATCAGAGCGAAGTCCTCGAGTGTACATGCGGAGGTCGTTATTGCTAGGTACATAAGTAGCTGCTTGCTGTATGAGAATACATTTGTTTCAGTAGTTAGTTTCTAGTTCTCTACCTCAAGGTCCAGAGGAATCCAATCAATCCAAAAACATATTTATCAGTTCTCTGCTCTAACAACTTTGCCGGCGACCTCCATAGTACCAAGCAGGAGCTTGCAGCGGCCAGAGCGAGCGCGGCGGCAGCGAACGCGGAAATGGATCGCTTGTTGCAAGAGAGCGCTGAAAGAGAAGCCCAAAGCGCGAAGTTACTCGAAGATCGTGTCCGAACAACGCTCGCGAAGAAAGAAAGCGCAATAGAAGATCTGCGCCAACGCTTGGCTTCGAAAGAAAATCAAGTAAAAGAGTGCGAATTCATGCTGCACAAGCAACGGGAAGAGCTGCTAGGTGGAATCGCGACTTAATTTATGCTTCTGCACAAGCACAAGCAACGGGAAGAGCTGCTAGGGGAGATTCCTGCGTGAAGCTGATGCTAAAGATGCCAGTGGTAAATGTCAGGATCGATAAACATAACAATGGTGTTGAGTAAATATTTTCACACTTTAATTGTCGCTCGATGAATTGATGTTCTTGTAAGCCAGATTAACTACACACTTGTACTTAAATTGTTTTCGATTTGTTTTGAATTTGAACTTGACGCTAGATGCTCAAGAATCCATCGCGCAGAACAATATTTATTGTCGAACTAGAATAACAGCATCATCATATTTAATTGTGGATTTAAAACTGATTGCTGTAGTGCTGGAAAATTGATGACGAGCTCTTCGCAGTATTCTCGTCTCTCTCGCAACAAGTTTCACCACACTGATTTGGCTCGAAGAGCTAATAATTGTTTGCCGGACCCAGCAGTGTGTTGAGAGAATTGGATGTCGCCTACTAAACAAGTTAAAGTTGATCCCACGCACGTGCTCGATAGGGGACTATCGGATGGCTCCTTTGTTCGAGGCACATAAAGAAGTCTGTCCTTGCCAAACACGATCGACTCCTCGTCGTAATTAGCTCTGTTGATCATGATTCCAAACCTTATAACAAACGGCTTTTGTAGCTAGACCTAGACAAGATGGTACTACTTGATCGCGGTCGTGACAAACAAAAAGTAGATCCTCAGGAAGGTAGATCGATTATAGAGAGCATTGTGCAACCTGTGATCGTCATCAGAGTAGAAATCTACACAACACAAACAAACGCCGGAACAAACGAATGACCTAGATGAAAAAACTTCGATGAGAGTAGGTTGACATGATAGGTATAATTACTAGGTAGGAAAACATAGACGATAATTAAATAGTCGTGAAAAATGTACTTTCAATGAAACAGCACACGAAGACGAAACAACGATACACTCATAGAACATATTTATAGAAGAACAAGAGCGACGTGATAGCGGGACGCGACTGCGTGTATTTGGGGAACCATTGCTCGTTCCTGTAATACTTCGTCTAAACATGATGCATCACACGACGACAGTATGACAATGTACAACCCATCCTCCGCCGCATAATTGAAATAAGAATCAGTATTTTTGTAAAGTTTCTGGCTGCAATAAATATAGAAACATCCTCTAAACATCTAATGCAACCAAATTGATCGTCGACGGGTGGAAGACGTGGAAGACTGCGTAACTCGAAATGTTTTCAAATTCGATGCTACGTTGATTGTTGTAAAGATAGAATAAGAAGTTGTAGAAGGCAAACAAAAGTAGAGAACAATCACCCGAGCTCTAGTATTATTTTCAACGGCAGTTTTTGAAGTACTAGAAGAACTACGTAGGTTTCTTCTTGTTGGCCACTGTGCCTGACCCTGCGGGGCTATGCGCCCCGCCCTAAACGCGTCGTTGCAACTGCTCACGCTCATGCCCTAAGTCGATTGTTCCACACCTCGTGGTCTCCGTCTGCAAGCAGCTGCTTTGTAGATTCTCAACGTGAGCCGCGTCCTCGTCCTGCAATGTCAGAGGGCCGAGATCCTAGCTGGTCTGCGCTTTGGGAAGATGAGCTCTCCTGAGTCAATTTGGGCGCACCGGTGGTTGATTCCAGTCTAACAAGTACGAGGAGGCTCGGGTTTTCGTTTTCGTGCTAGAAAATGACGGAACAGCAGGTGAATCCAGAATGCGCTTTTCCAGTGCTGCTGGAATGGGTCCGGCTAAGTCTGGCACCAGCCGCGACCTTGGACCAAATAAGAGAAGGAGAGCTCGTGCGCCGAGTTTACAATGCTGCAAGCGGGGAAAACATACCGAATGACTCAGTCCTGTGTGACCATTTGGGTGTCGAGCCCTTGTGTCCGGGACGGGCGTCAGAAGCGATGAAAACTCAAAAGCGTCTCGAAATGTGGACGGCGACACTGTCCAGTATCGTGACGGAATTCGATAAAGACGAACGATACTCTTCAGAAATCCAAGCACTTGCCGACGACAAGCAGCTGGTACTGGTTCTTTCTCTTTTCTAAAAACTAGTGCGGTTCGATGATGTTTTCGCCAACGTCATGTTCCTGTACCAGCGGAAGTAACGGTTCCCTCGTATCATGATCGATGTGTAATCAGGAGCAGCGAGGCTTCCTTTCACTAAATGTGGCTCGTTACATCTGGCGAAGAGCCTTTTTAACAAGTACAACTTCCTTCCACTCCACCTGCTTGATGATGATGAAGTAAATTTTCTTTCCACACTTTAAACCAGGTTTTGATGGATCTTGTTGAACCGTTTTTGGAAAAGGAGCCTCCTGTAGGGAGTACGCCTAACGCACGAGCCTATTCCAGTAGCGACGAGAATCTTGCAGCGCCCATGTCAGTAAGCGTGAGTTTGGCGAATTTCCAGTCTGGTGGGTCCTCGTCCTCAACTGCGCCTCCCCATCTGGCAAAAAATGTGCCTGATACTTCTGTGGGCGGAGGTCGTGGATCCTCCTCGTCTTTGAGCCGCAGGTCGCCGTCGCCAGCGGCCCGATCCTCGCCTACGCGTTTGAACAACACGAATCTTGGTACTACAACAACGAATACTAGTGGTGGAAATATCTCTGCGAGGGACAGTGGTCCAGGAGGCACAACTGCGATAGGCGCCGGATTAGCGTCCAGCTCGGCAACGCTGCTAGATCACCATCATCACGAGGAAGATGCTAGAGGACGCGAAAGTGACCTTAAACAGCGTGTGTCCATGCCAAGAACGTCCACACCCGCAACGGTTCAGCAGCACGAGGAGCAAGCGCTAATCGCTCAGTTGCAGGCAGAGGTTGCGCGGTTGAAGAAGGATACTGCAGGTCGCGCAGCAGAGTTGCTAGACGCGGAATTCGCTGCTTCCGCAGAAAGACATGAGCTAGATCGCCAACTTCGCGACGCACGAGAGCGTCTCAAGGCAGCTGAAGACCGATACGCGAAACTAGAGCAGCTTCATGCGGCGCAGAGCGAAAAATTGCTTCACGCTGACGCAGCGAAAAGTATGGAAGAGAATGTTGCGGCCACTCGGGCGAAACTAGAACGGATGGCAGGGCGCGTTGCAGAGCTGACGACTGAACGAGATACACTTTTGTCCGAGAAAAAGCGTGCTGACACTGCGCAAAAAGTAAGCCAGCTATTGTTCTAGTTCTACTTGGGATCGTTTTTTATAATTTTTACTTTTGATGACTGTGTAGGTTTACACTGAGTAAATTAATAAACGAGTTATCGTTCTTACGAGACGCGGACACCATTCTGATCGCTGTGATCATGATGCCCACAACGAAATCGTTCTCATCAAATAAATTCTTGTTCCAGGACCTGCGTAGTGCACAAGGGGAGCTGCAACGGCTACAGGAGAACATGCGCATAAAAGACGCGCTTCGCGAAAAGAGCTTGAAGACTGAAGGCGTGGTCGAAGAGTTGCAGCAGGCCGTTCAGCGGTGGCAGCTGAAAGCGCAAGAAGCCTCGGATAGTGCAGAGCAGCTTCGCGTCCTACATGAGGAGGCGAACAACGCAGCGCGGATGCTCCAGGCCGCGAAAGAGGAGGAGCTCTTCGCAGCTGAGGAGCGTCGGCGAGAAGCGCTGCAGGAGCAGCGGACACGGCATGAGCTCGAGACTCATGCTGCTGAGGAGAAACTGCAGCAGGAGAAGCGCGAACTCGGAGAACGCGAAGAAGTACTAAGGCAAGCGCATGCGCGAGAAACAGAAGCCTTGCGTGATCATTTGGAGAAGAAAGACGTACTACTGCAAGAGCGAAAACAGGCACTTCTGGACAACGACACGCAATATAAAGAAGATGTCAAGCAGCTGGAGGCGAAGCACGCGCATTCGACCGAGCAATTGCGCCAAACCCTCGAACGAGAAAGAAAAGATTCTGTATTTATGATTTCGTCAGCACTCTGTCTCTTGCTCTACAGTTACACTTTGATTTTAGTGCTCTGTTTCTCTTCGAAGATGTTGTAGTTGGTATCATTTCTATCTAATTTATCACAGAAACCAACCGGCACGAGTATTATAGTCAAGAATTTGACATCAAGAAATCTATCTTAATCTTTTTCATTTCCTTTTCTTCCACCTCCACTCCCACTATTCTCAGGAGTCTCGGCTCCGTCGCGAATTGCTGGCTCAGGAAACCGCTTCCGTCGAGAGGTTGAGCCGAGAACACACTGAGGCACTAGCAAAAGAGCGAGAGCGCTATGAGGACGTGTGTAGAGAGCATGATTCCGTACGCGCAGAACTCAGGGAAACTAGGCTCCAGCATTCTAGGGAGATTGATGACTTGCGGCAACATGGAGACTCGACCGAGCGCGACCTTGTAAGAAACTGGTCCACCAAACTCGATGACGCAACGACACAACTCGATCTGGAACGACAGAGAACTGTTATGAAGATTGATCATTGCTCATACATTTGATAGAATTCCTCCAATGAATGTTGCTTGACGTTTTACCGTCGGTCGTTGTAGAGGTACTACTCGAAGATCCTTGGTTCGTCCGGTTTTTAGTGAATGTTGTATTTTATGAGTATCTTCAGACTCGCAGCTGCTACCGCTGCGCGCGTCTCTTTGTTTCATCCTCGGCCCCTGCCGTTTCTTTCTGTCTTCTGCAAAGCAAGCATATCCTTGAATCCACCTCATCCCTTTTCATTCTGTTGGAGCTAGAGGCCGAGTTGAAGCAAAAGTGGGAGCAGGAGTGCGCCACACTCCGGCAGCAGCACGAACAACTACTTGCGAGCCAGTTAGCACAGGTCGAGTCCGCCTGGGCAGATAAGGAGAGGGCGTATAAAACAGAAGCTGCGGATATGCTGGCTAGAGCCGAGCAAGAATTTCAGAAACTTCAAGCGGACTGTGCAAGCCTGCGGAAGGAAGCGAAAGACGCACGTGATGAAGCCGAGAGAGCGAGCAAGGAGGCGAGTGCGGAGAAGGTATTTTTGTCTGCTGGCATAGGTATACTATAGCCTATCACTAGCGCAACATGTTCTACACCATAGATACACCACCTCAATGACATTCTTATCAATTCACGAATTGAATGAATACGGTTACGGATTTTTCTAATCTATGTCTCTTCTACTTACCTTTTTTAGGACGCATTGGCCCTGAAAAACCAGAAGGAAACGCAGAGTCTTTCTGAACACTTGCGCGGCAAGGCAGAAGAGGTGCTAAACGACCTAAAGCAGCGGCATCAGCGCGAACTTGAAAGTCAGAAGCGGCAACTTGAGGGCGAGCTTGCGAATCGCCACAAGCTCGAAATAGACAAACTGAGGAAAATTGAACATGATCTGCGAGCGCAGCAGGAAAGTGACGTCGCGGAGCTCGTCACGACGATACAAACGCTTCGAAACGAAATCGCCGAAAAAGAACAGCGCATTTTGAAAGCAGAGGTATAGAAGAAGTTGATGTACGTAGGAGAGGCTTCTGACATTCTGTAGTTATAGGACCATTACTACGTATATATGACTTCGTCTAGTTCTTGTTCAGTACACTTTTCAACAAACGGTTACAATTTCCGCCTACAAATACTCTCATCGCAGAAGGAACAGCGCGAGGCTTTGGAAGCGATCGAGCAAAAGCAGAGCGAGAGCAGCAACACCGCTTTCGCGACGCTGCGGGACAAGTGTGACCAGTTAAAGGGAGCGCTTAAGGCTGCGAAGGACGAGCAAAGCCAGTCCCAGTTACAGCTTGACGAAGTGCGCTTGAAGTTGCATTGTGTCCTCGAGAGTTCGAAAAAGGAACGCGACGAAGCGCGACGCGAAATTGAGATGCTCAAGAAGCGCCTTGCCAGTGCGGAGGAACGCGTGTTGCAGACGGAAGCCAGGCTTCGCCTGGAGCGCGAGCAAGGTGCAGCTGCCAAGGGCAGCATTAGCAGTATGAAAGTACTCGAAACGCTCCGTGGAAGGCAACTGGCAGATTTGGAACAGAACGGCATCAACTGGCAAGAAAAGTACAGAACTCTGATGGAAAGCTATAAGGAAATCTCTACAGCCTACGAACAAGATCGAAAAGAAAGAGAACAGCATCAACGTACTGTAGCAATATCAGGGATGCACGCTTCGGCGTCAAGTTCAGCTTCCGGTGGTGGAGAACAACCGAATAGCGGCTCATCTTCTTCGCTGAACGGCGCCTCTTCTACCAATAAGAATGGCAAAGCGAGTGGAAATTTTGCCCAGAGTCTGCTTGAAGAGAATATTGCTTTGAAAAAGGAGAAGCGGGATATGATTGTTAGGCATGCAGCGGCTTTGCGACAACTTGCGGCTGCATCTTCCTCGCAACAGCATAACGGCGGAAAAGAGAAAGACGCGAATATGACCGGGAACAGCAGTGGCATGGTAGCTTCTCCAGCCGCTTCGTCCAACATCTCTTCGCTGTCGTCGGAAGAGCGTAGAAGAAGAAAGCGCGACGTGCCCATGCAGGACGCTTCTGCGACGAGTGCTTCAGCATTGTTGTTTCCCGGAGGTGCAGCATCGGACAAAAGTAAGGGAGATGCAACAGGTGAGAAGTTGAAGTCTACTTTGGGTTCTTCTCATGGTGCTCAGCAAAGCCATCAGCCGCGTTCAGGAATCATGAAGAACACGACAGCGCAGGCAAAACCGTCGACGAATCGAGGAGATTCATCCGGCCATGGCACAGGCGACGAGAACAACAAAGAAAATGTAGCCTACACAGTTCCTCCTGCCTCGTCCCCTGGCCCACCAGGCAGCGGCTCTTATACAGAAAACAACAAAGCGACGTCGGGTCGGGCCTCACTCGTTGCCGGAAGTCGTCCTCCGTCGAAACTCGGTTCCCCTCAAAGACAAGGCCGTGACGATGACATGGACCGGGACGGCGGTCCCGGTGCTCTGTACAACAACCCCACCGCGTCACCAAGTGTTGGAGCAACAGGAGAAGGGCCAGGCGATGATGGGAGAGGCAGACCAAGAAACATGCTGGTTTTGGAGGAGAAACAGAGCGGTCAGCCGTCGCCTGGAGGTTATCCGAGCCGCGGAATGGGAGTCAAGCGCGAACTGCTCAAGCACGAAAGGACAGACTCAGCCGAAAAGCGGGTGCGCATGACGCAGCCAGCCGATGATGATCGGTGCAGGCAGCAGTAGCGCACTAGTAAAGACGCTGGTCATGAAAATCTATCGGTGTTAATATCAAAGTCATATTGTTATATATAGTTGTTTTAGTCATCTTCAACTTCAACTTCGTCCACGACGACGTGCATGATGTAGTATTTTTTGATCCTGAAATAATTGCATCCATCGTGTATGTGTAAATTCAGTCATAATAACATAATCCAATAAATCCTGACTCGTTCATCCATTTGTAAAAGTCCATCCAATGATGTGTTGTACAAGGGCATCTGCATTCCTCCTGTTTATTCTGACTATTGTTATTCAACAAGTAGGACAAAGAAAAATGATAATGAAATTGCTTTACAACTACTACATGTCTTCTACTTAATACACCAGAGGCAGAGAAATGTCGTTGAACTTCCGTAGTTAAAGTCTTCTTCTGATACTCACATCGGCAGGGATTACGCTGATCATATTCCTGCGTATGGCAATCACCAAAGAATTGGGTTTGTAATACAAGATGATAGAAGAAACAGTCGTGTACGCCAGCTGGACCGCTGGTCATCATGCTGAAAAAATCTGGCTGACGGCGTGACCGCGATGAAGATCCAGGATGAAGATTCAGATTGTGCTTACTACGAGCGATGAAAAGAGAGTAGAGAGCAACAGGGTCCTAAAATAAATGATGAATGAAATGTAGATGGCATAAACTACAGCGTTGCCCCGTCTTTCATCCACTTCGGTCCGCGCCAATTCAAGATCTCTTGTAAGATTGATTGTAACAGCAGTACGTCCTGCTAAGTATATCATTCTGAAGCAAAAGTTGTCACTAGCATCGGTCTAGCTCTGGTGCTCCACGTCGTCCTTTTCTTGGGCTCGTTTGCATTGATAGATATTGGAAAGAGGCTTAATATGATTGATCCCTAGGCGGGGGTAGGCCTAGTATACTTCAGCTCCGTTGTGTGATCTATTGGTAAAAAGGAGTACGCTGCCTGCAGAGGATGAACAAGAATCAATAGTGACTCGCACACTTCTTATCTTTCTTTCTGCTTCTGGAACGGAAAAAGGTTGTAGTACTTAGATGAATGCCCGAGGACCATTTGCCGAAAAAGTGTCATCATCGAGAAGATGTAAAATCAAGAGTGTTCGACACGCACATCTAAGTAGTTCCTAGTAGAAGCAAGTATGGATGGTTAGATGATTTGGAATGAAGTCGAATGGGTTAGCTGCTAGTTGATGTCCTTTAAGTTTATCTATATAATTATGTAATAAATGCCCAAAAATCCGCGCTTGTGCTTGAATGCGCGATAGTGTTTTTGAAACAACACCTACTTCATTCTAGCTCTACTTTTATTTCTAGCTGCTCTTGTCACCTATTCCTACAAGATTCGGAAAGTCAATTCGTGGTAAGTACCTTGTCGTGATCATTAACTGTTTCATAGATTTTTTTTGTAAACTTGTCTTCTTCTTCTTGACATGATTATTATAGTATTGATTGTGGCTCGCACTCTTCTCTGGTCTTAACATTCCGAAAAGGAAAAGAAAAGCAAAAACACTAGTAGATCTTGAGTTTATGACGTCATGAGCAACCGATTGCAGAACTATCTGGTTGGCTCCTCCTCGTCCTATCAAAGCGCATTGCCAGTAATAAGATGAAGAGAGCCTGGTAAAGGTGATGCTAACGACGTCCAAGAATAATCAATGAACGTGCCGCCGTAAGCATAATGGCGTCCTCTGGTCCTACTGCTTCCGGAGAGGCAGGGCCGAGCGTGGGTCCGCTTGCCGAGTTTTTGGCTCAGGTTTTACCGGTGTCTCTCGAGGCAGACCAGGCTCTGGTCTCGAGGCGTCTCACCGAGCGTGATGTGTCGGAAAAGCTGCGAACCTTCGTCACTGACGCACAGGCGACGACCGTTGTTTTCGCTTATGCCGCCAGTAAAGTCGCGGAATCGCAATCCACGTCAAGAGCGAGTGAGCTTACGTCATCTGGGGCAACAGGAGGCGGTGGACAGTTGATCGCAGCGTTGGACGTTCAAGCCTGCTCGAGTGCCCTGCCGCAGGGGTCAGGACCATGTACTGCTTTCGCCGTGATCAAACGAGCCACGTTCGCAGAGCTTTATGGCGGGGGTGGCACTGGCGGAGATTTGCCTGGTGGCGGAGCTACTCCTAGCGCCGTCACACCCACATCCACGAGCGGGGGTCGCAACAGTGCAAACGGAAGGTCCAAGACAATGCCTAGTGGCGCGGTCCAGACGGTAACGTTCGACTTGCATCCTGGCGGCAATACCGAAGCGCCATTCGACTTGCTACACCGTTGCCTTGCGAACGTTTTTGCACCGCTTGTTGCACTGGGCACGGCCTCAGAGTCATCTTCCGGGAATGAAGATGTTGGAGGTGCCCTCACAGGCAGAGGAGGTGCCTCTTCAGGCAGACATATTGCGGGTAATGGAGATCCGAATAACGCGGCAGCATCACAACTCGTGCAGAAGAAGATAGCTGAACTCTCGATGGCCTTGCAGCAGTGCGGTCAAAGCTTTAGGATACCCGAAGTTATGCTGAAAATTGACCCGACTGTGCGACACCTCTTTGATAGAGCGAGGCATCAGCAACAGCCGCCTCCGCAGCCTGAAAGGCATGCGGAAGCACTATTAGAACCACAAATTGTGAACACACTGCATAGCGGAGCGAATCAATGGGTGCGGGAGATTCAGAAGGTACTAGTCGTGACGCTTCAGGAAGTGCTCACGGTCTCGTGTGGCGACGAGAGACTCGAGAAGTAGACAGCAAACTGTGACTTTAATGTTTTTGAGGTTGTATGGCTCCTATCTAGTTGTGGGGATCTTCACTCATTACTCTGTCTGGCCTACCCGGTGAGCTGTGTCAGATGAAGTGGAAGCCACAATCACACCAGTCACAGTCTCTATATCTACGACCTTCAATGAAATAAAAATGCTTTACTTTTAGGTAACGAAGTATCTGCAGCACGGCGGTTCGAGCATTCGGGGAAGCGCCGCGAGCGAGGTCAGCTTTTGGATTAACGTCGAGAAAGCGCTTGCTCACCTGCGCGCGCAGTTACAGCAGCCTGAGGTCGAGTTTACTTTAGCAATCCTTCGCTTAGGAAAGCGGTTTCTAACCTCGGTGAGTTTCGAGGCTGACACGGGCCTCAAGTCTGCCATCGATGCGGTCGCAAGTTACATGGTGCTGTTGCGCGACTTCCCGGTACAGGAGATCGTGGCGGCGAGCAGTTTTACAGGGCTGCAGCAAGCAGTGCGCACCGTTTTCGGGCACATGCGCAAGTTGAAAGCAGCAACGGCGTATCCACTCGCACGCGCGTTTCAGTTGGCGGAAGCGGTGTCGCGAGACTTGCGTACGCAGATCCTCCAGATCTTCCGTACCAGAAGCAAGTTGTTGCTCGCTGAGGACTACAATGCTTTCGAAGAGGGCACGCGGGAAGCGGAGAAGCTCTTTCGCGTATGGGATGAAGAGCTGCGGTCTTTCAAAGAGCTCGTGCGCGACCAAGTGAAGCGTCGTGGCGCCAGCGCAGAGCGACCGCCGCACCGCATAGTGTGCGAACATCAGCAACTGCAGGACCGCATCGACGACCTGCGCCAGTTCCGACGCCAACACCGAAAGACGCAAGAGGTGATGGCAAAAATCTTTGCACAGGAACGGCGGACCGACCTCGAAGACGCCTATGCAGCGTTGATCTTGGAATTAGAGGGTGGTGGAGACTCTTCGGCCGATTTCCAGGACGCAACGCTCCAGCCTGTCTTGGATACTTCAGTCGCGGGCAATGCTCGATGGGAAGCAGCAAAGCGGAAATACAACGAGAAGATCGACAGATTGGAGAGCGTGCTGATCCAGAAATTGAGACGGGAATTAGGAGATGCGAGGAACGCAGACGACATGTTTGCAAGTTTCCAGAAGTACAACGTGCTGTTCTTCCGACCACGCATACGCGGCGCAATCCAAGAATACCAGAGTACACTCCTGGAAAACATCCGTTTAGAGGTCAAGAAGCTCCAGGACAAGTTCAAGCATGACACTTTCTTTGGTGATAATCTTATGATATCAGATAAACATGATGATGACATTCATCTTCATGATCATCAGATCATGGACATGTTGATATTCAGCATTAGTTGCACTCCTTGTCGCAACAAGATAAAGTTGATGATGCGAGGATTGAGCTGAGTACATACTGGGAATTTCTGTTGATTGAATGAAAAAAAAAGCATCATGATTTTGTAGCATGCATGCAAAGGGTAATCTAGAGATGATCGCACGTTTCTGACGTGGCTAGCAGTGTGAGAAGATTATAGAGTTTCTTTCATAACGCGGGCTGGAGCAGGTTCTACGTCTGCCGCAGTTGGATCGCACAAAGTAACACTGGCGCGGGACATCCCTGGCATTACAGGAGCAATCCTGTGGGCGCGTCAGATCGAGAACAAATTGCGCCTGTGCCTGCGTCGAGTAGAAGACGTTCTAGGCCGTGGATGGGAACAGCACGTCGACGGGGGACGCATCAAGCAGAATGTGGAAGCGTTTCTGCAAAAATGCTCCGCTGCGGGTTTGTTCGAACGGTGGCTTCGCAGCTTAAAGGAAGACAGGCGGCCGTTCGATGCGGCGAAAGAGCGACTGCTCAATATCGCAGTCCAGGGAAAACAGTACCAACTTCTGGTCAACACTGACCCATTGATCACGTTACTGTTCAAGGAGGTTCGCAACCTGCAGGCATTAGGCCTGCGCGTGCCGTACTCGTTGAAAGTGCTAGCCGACGAAGCCAAGCTCTCATACTACGGAACTGCTTGTGGCCTGGAAGAAGCGTGTCGCAGTTACATGCGCACGGTCCAGCGCCCCGACTTCGATTCCACCGTTGAACTTCTGCTCGCCGGACACCATGCCTCATTGCAACGACTGCTAGCCCAGGGACTGCAGCTGCGATGGATCCATGAGCGGGTGGAGCCCTATGCGCGAAAACTGTGTGAAGAGGTCCGCACTTTCGAAGATCGCGTCGCTGAGGTGACAATCTGTGCAGCGAGAATGGAATCTCTCATCGCGAAACTAGACGACTTCGACTTCACTAGTCCAGCGGGTGAAGATGGTAGTGTGCCGGGGATAGCGGAAAATATGGGTGGTCGTGGCATCGACAAGGGGCAACGTTCGAAAGATGCGGGTGGAGATGGTATTGGTGATACGTAAGTACTTAAAAAGACTTAGCGGTCCACAAGCACAACTCGAGAGGTATCCGTGGAAACATGAATCACGTGTGGCATATGAAACAGTCACCCTATTTCTTTGACAGACTGACCTATTCAATGTCTTCCGTTCATGCAACATCATCGACATCGAGCAGTATGAGAACTAAGTTTGCGTTTGAAGTTTTATATAGTTTGCCATCTTCATTATTGCACCTCCTACCCATAGTGGCGGACCATCTATTTTCCCAAAAGGCGCGTCCGCATCGCCACGCAAGGGGGAGCTTTTACCGCTGGATCAAAGCAGCCCCACGGCATACTTTCGTTCCATCCTGCTCCAGATGCAAGACCTCATCGACGATATGAACTTGAAAAATTTTTCGAATCTCGAACACTGGGCTCACGAGAAGCTCCGCGCACGAATTAATGCCAAGCTGGCTGCAAGACTGCAATATATCGTCAAAGAGTGGGTGAGACAGTTCCGACAGTGGCCCGTGGCTGGTACAACACTAATCAGAGGCAACACGGTGCAAGAACTGACGATGCAGAGCCAAGTTTTGACTTTGACACCTGCCAAGGAGAGCGCGCGGCAGTTTTGGATGCGGCAACTGCATGAAAGCCTCGGAATTATCTGCGGTCTGCCACAGTTGATGGCATCGCGGCTGGACGGAACCGGGCAGAACATTGCTCGTCTGGACGCGAATCCCACTGCGATGCTGAACCGTAGGAAAGCCTCGACTTACCAGTTTCTTTTGCGTGAGTTGCCGCAACAAGCCTTGACCGACGCGTACGACGCGATTGAAGCTGTTTTGGATCAAGCACATGAGTATGCGGACTCCTGGCTTCAGTATCAGGCACTCTACGACCTGTCGGTTGGAGACGTGTTTGAGCGGGCCGGGGACGACTTGGCCCGTTGGCAGCAGCTTCTTGCTGAGGCGAAGGCGTCGCGACAGCAGCTGGAGCGTGCAGCGACCAAAAGCGAGCAGGCGTTTGGTCCGATGACGATAGTGCATGCCAAGGTAGCTACGAAAATCCGTCAGCGGTACGACCTCTGGCGTCGCGACATGCTAGGCGAGTTCGGAGATCGCGTCTACGGACGAGTCTCGCAGCTGGTGCAAGAACTTCGCGGTCAGCGGACCATTCTCGAGGAGCAAGCCACGCTGGACGGCACTAGCGTCGTTGCGGCAGTGAAAACGCTTACCGCGATCCAGGGTTTGAAGCGGCGCAGAGATGAGCTTGGCACCACCGTGTCGCAGTTGATCGACTGTACACGAACGCTAAGTCGATCCGGCTTTGCCTTTCCCGACGACTTTCCGAGTGAGGAACAGCAACAGTCAGAGTGGGATTCTCTGCAGGTGGCTTTGGATCGTAAGTCCGCTGCTCTAGAACGAGAATTGCCGAAGCTGCGCAGCGGCATCGAACGTCGCGTGCAGCGCGTGACTACCGACGTGCAGCAAGCCTACGCAGACTGGACGCACGACAAGCCGGTGCACGCGGTTGCGGCTGCAGTCGATGCTATGGAAGTGGTGACAAAGTATGAGCAGACTTGCGCCTCTTTAGAAGCTGAGTGCAAGGACGTGGCAGAGGCGGCCGCGTCCATCTTAAACCAGCCGTTGAACGTGCTAGAAAAAGCGCTGCGGCCTCTTCGCGAGGAGGTAGCAAGCCTCCGAGAGGTCTGGGGTCAACTGCAGGCCGTCGAACAGGAGATCGCAAAACTGCGAGAGACGCCATGGTCTGCGTTTATGCCGAAGCGAGTGCGCGCAGCACTGGACGAGGACCTGTTGCATGGTCGCATGAGGGAGATACCAGACCGCGTGCAACAATACGACTCGTACACGTTGATGACCAAAAAAATCCAGAAGCTCATCAAACTCAACATTCTACTCGCTGATCTCAAGACGGACGCCCTCAAGGACAGGCACTGGGACTCAATCTTGGATCGTACTGGGCTGAAAGCGAAAGAAAAAGTCTTCTCGGATCTGACACTAGTTATGCTTCACCCTATTTCTTTCAGACATTGATGTTGTTCATCCGAATCAAGTTCTTCTCAAGGTGTACGTAGTACCGTAGATAGTACCACATACAGAGTAGGAGGACTACTTAGAAGTTGCTATGCTGAAGAGCACGCTTCTTATCTCCACCCATCTTTCCATTCTTTCATTTTTTGCGACATGTGGGACGTGGAGTGGACTGAGTGCGAAAAGGCCGTGCGTGAAGAACTGGCTTTAGCTGCGGGTGAGATGGCATTGCAGGTCTTTATGTCGGAAGTGAAGACACTGTGGAACGCGTACGAGCTGGAGATGGTTGCCTACAAGACTGGTCGCTGCAAGCTGATCCGTGGTTGGGATGCCCTGTTTGCGCAGCTAGACGAGCACTTGAACAGTTTAAGCAGCATGCGCATGTCGCCGTTTTACAAAGCTTTTGAAGATCAAGCCGGAAGTTGGGAAGATAGATTACGGAAAGTACAAACATTGCTAGACGTCTGGATGGACGTGCAGCGAAAATGGGTGTATTTGGAAGGCATTTTCTTCGGGAGCGCGGACATTCAGACTTTGTTACAGAAAGAGTATGCGCGATTCAAGCAGATTGACTCAGATTTTCTGGGTTTGTGCAAAAAGGCTAGCACGAAGCCCAAGGTCTTGGATGTGATACAGATAGATAACCTCGACAAATCACTCAGCCGCATTCAAGAAGGCCTCCAAAAAGTACAAAAGGCGCTCGGGGACTACTTGGAGCAACAGCGAATCCAGTTCGCGCGATTCTACTTCCTCGGCGACGAGGACCTGTTGGAGATCATCGGGAACAGCCGCGACGTCACCGTGCTCGCGCATCACCTGGGTAAGATGTTTGCGGGCGTCGCTGCTTTCGGCACCCAGGGCACGGACGGCGACGAGGTCGTGCTGATGCGGAGTCGGGAAGGCGAAGAAGTGCCGTTTGGCGAGTACCTGGTGCGAATTAGCGATGACCCAAGCATTCACGGTTGGCTATCGCGCGTAGAAAGCGCAATGCAGAAAAGCTTAGCAGTTTCGCTTTCGAAAGCTTGGCCTGAGTTGATGGCTTTGGATAATGCTTCCTCGGGTGCCAGTGGCGGATCCGACTTTCTCGCTTGGGTGGAGAAGACGCCTTGCCAGTTGATGCTAATCGCCTCGCAGCTGTGCTGGACCAACAAAGTGGAACTCTTGCTCCAGCGCAAGCAGAACACATCGTCCGTAGCGGACTCATGCGTGGGCGTGTTAGAGATGTTAGCACGAAAAGTTTTGGATAGTGGCGTCTCCAGAAATTTTCTGACTAAAATGGCTCAACTCATTACAGAGATGGTGCATCAGCGCGACGTCAGCAGAGATCTAGCCGCTAAGCGCATTACTAGTGCAGACAGCTTCGATTGGCTCCAGCTCCTGCGCGTCTACTGGGCAGGAGGGAACCAAAAGACGAGTCCTGCTCTTCCTGCAGAAGGTAGTTCGTCTGGGTCCAGTGGCGCATGTCGCATCGAAATGACCAACGCTGTCCTGCCATACGGATTCGAGTATTTAGGCATGGCTGAGAAATTATGTCAGACCCCGTTGACTGACAGATGCTTTTTGACGCTGACGCAAGCACTGCACATGAAGATGGGTGGCGCTCCCTTCGGTCCGGCCGGAACAGGTAAGACGGAATCTGTGAAGGCGCTGGGAGCACAGTTGGGCTACTTCGTGCTGGTATTTTGTTGCGACGAGACGTTCGATTTCCAGTCCATGGGCCGGATTTTCGTTGGGCTTTGTCAAGTCGGCGCTTGGGGATGCTTCGACGAGTTCAACCGACTTGAAGAGCAAATGCTTAGCGCCTGTTCTGAACAGATCCTAACGATTCAAGCCGGGCTGCGGCAGAATTTGCCAACGATCGAAATCGTGGGTAAGCAGGTCCGCTTGAATCCGGGTGTCGGCATTTTCATCACTATGAATCCGGGCTACGCCGGACGCAGCAACTTGCCAGACAACCTGAAGCAACTGTTTCGCGAAATGGCGATGATTTCCCCCAACAAAGCCTTGATTGCCGAAGTTCAGCTCTTCTCGCGAGGATTCGCTACAGCTGAGCGGCTTGGCAGCAAAATCGTGTCGTTGTTCGATCTCTGTCTAGGCCAGCTTTCGCAACAGCCTCACTACGACTTCGGATTGCGGTCATTGCGCGCTGTGCTCACGACAGCTGGAAATATGAAGAAGGAGATCTCTGCCTCTGACGAGCAGCCATCTTCTTCTGCTGCCGCATCGACGAAAGAGGCATCAGCCGACGTCGCTCGTACCGAAGAGGACATCTTAGTTCGCAGTATCTGCAACACGCTGGTTCCGAAGCTCGTGGCCGAGGACAAGCTCCTACTGCGATCTCTGCTAGCAGGCGTGTTCCCAGGCCAAGATCTGATCGCGGTGGACGAAGCGGAGCTTGAGCGAGAGATCCGCCTCTTGTGTCGCCAGATGCACTACCAAGTCGAAGAGGTGTTCGTGGAGAAGATGATGCAAGTGTACCAGATCCAGCGCATCACCCACGGCGTGATGATGGTGGGCGGTGTGGGCACCGGCAAGAGTGCCGCGTGGCGCACACTGTTCGCAGCAATGGAAAGAATTGATGGTATCAAGTCGGAAGCTGTGATAATCGAGCCGAAAGCCATCTCCAAGGACGAACTTTATGGTCGCTTGGACGCTACCACGCTGGAGTGGACCGACGGCGTCTTCACTGCCACACTGCGCCGCATACTCGCAAAGAACTCGTCTAGCAACGCGAACAGTCGACGCTATTGGATCGTGTTTGACGGCGACGTAGATCCAGAGTGGGCAGAAAACTTGAACTCGGTTTTGGATGACAACAAGCTATTGACGCTGCCAAATGGTGAGCGGTTGTCGATACCACCAAACGTGCGAATTATGTTTGAGGTAGAAACGCTGAAATATGCGACGCTAGCTACAGTTTCGCGCTGCGGTATGGTCTGGTTCGCACACGATGTAGTCACCCCTGATATGTTGTTGCGGCATTGCCTTGACGTGCTCGAATTCGGTCCGGGAACTTTGGAAAACAAAACTTCTGGCGGTCAACCTGGAAAGGGCAAGAAATCCATCGTGGGAGGTGATAGTGATTCACCGGCACCAGGCTCGCCGGGTGCGGACTCCGAACGCGCTTCGATGGGTGCCGCAGAGGCTGCGGAACCAGCTGCACCCGCGGCTGCTTTGGCTCCTCCGGTGCAGGCCGATCGCGCAGCGACACTTGTGCGGCAAGCGGTGGAACAGTACACGTCCCAGATTTTGGAGTTGCTTCAGGTTGCAGCGAAGTATACTCACGTGATGACGTACACGGACATCCGCGTCCTTACGAGCTTCTTCGGTCTGTTGCGCACTTGCGTCCAGGACTGCCGTGATCAGGACCTTGGAGGCAGTGGCGAAAACCGCAAAAGCGGCGAACCACTGAGTGATAGCGATATCTCCTGTTACGCCACTCAGGTCGTTCCCGGGGCCATCTGCTGGGGCTTCGGTGGCAGCATGGACCTCGCAACGCGGACTCGATTCGCAGCAGACGTCGCGGATCATTGCTCAACCCTCGTTTCGCTTCCTCCTACGTCATCCGAAGTGACATTGCTCGACTACGAGGTGCGTCTGGAAACCGGGAAGTTTCATCTATGGACCGAGAAAGTACCAACGTTGGACTTGACACCGGAACAGAGTATGGCATCGGATTTGGTCATAGAAACGTTGGACACATTACGAAATCGCCATGCTTTGGGCAGTTGGATGAGCGAGAAGCGCCCCTTCATCCTCTGTGGCCCACCGGGAAGCGGCAAAAGTATGATGCTGATGAGCACGCTGAAAATGGCGGGCGACTCCGTTGACCTGGTGTCGTTGAATTTCTCTTCCGGCACAACGCCGAAGCTGTTGCAAGACTCCTTAGCGCAGTACTGCGAGACAGTGAAGACGCCACGTGGACTGGTGATGCGTCCTTTGCGCCACGACCGCTGGGTTGTGGTCTTCTGCGACGAGTGCAACTTGCCAGCTGAGGACAAGTACGGCACACAGCGCGTGATCCTGTACATCCGTCAGATGTTTGAGCAGGGTGGTTTTTACCGCTCAAGCGACCGCCAGTGGGTGTCGCTGGAGCGCGTCCAGTTTCTGGGTGCGTGTAACCCACCTACTGACGCAGGGCGATTTCCCCTGAGCGATAGATTTCTCAGACACTGTCCGATTTTGCTTGTAGACTACCCTGGCCGCGAAAGTTTGACTCAGATTTACGGAAGTCTGATGCAGGGTGTGTTCAAGCTGTGTCCGCCGTGCTCGCACCTCGCAATGCCGATTGCCACGTCAATGGTCGACTTCTGGCTAGCTTCCGCAGCACACTTCACGACCGACATGCAGCCGCACTACTTGTACTCGCCGCGCGAGTTGACCAGGTGGAAGATCGCGATCATGGAGGCTATTGTTGGATCGCAGCATTTAGCCAATGGCGGCTTTACTCCACAGGAGATGACGCGGCTCTTCGTACACGAAGGTTTGCGCATCTTCTGCGATCGCCTGGTCTATCCGGAAGAGCGTCAGTGGACGAACGAGCAGATCGACGACATCGCGCGCAATCGCCTTGGTGCTAGTGATGCGACCTTGAAGCGACCGATCTACTTCAGCGTGTGGGGCGGCGCTGACCCGCACTCGCCGACCTGTGGCGCGCACAAGGACGCAGCGCCCTACCGCGAGGTGCACGAGGAGGACTTGCGGGCGCTGGTGAAAGAGAAAATTAAGAATTCTTCGATAAAGTAGAACTGGAATTGGAAGTACTCCTTCTCCTGCATATTAAATTACCTCATCATAGATAGCAAGCCTGCTCCTGCATGGAGAATCAATAGTAGACAGAGTAGTAAAGAAAATGTATGCGATCAGGCCAACCGCGTAGAAGTAGTCCGCCCAGCGTAATTTCCTCTTCTAAGAACCTTACCGCATTCTCAGAGGAAGCCATGAATGTGCAGCTTGTCGTCTTTGATGATGTCTTGGAGCACGTGACGCGTATCGATCGCGTTCTGCGGCAGCCTCTAGGGCATTTGTTGCTTGTAGGGGTCGCAGGTGCGGGCAAGACGACGCTCTCGAAGTTTGTCTCCTACATGAATGGCTTGGACATCTTCCAGATCAAATGCGGTCGTGGGTACAACGTGTTGAATTTCGAGGACGACCTACGAACGGTAATGACGCGAGCGGGTGCGCATGGGGAAAAGATAACCTTCATATTCGACGAAAGCAATGCACTTGGCCCAGCGTTTCTAGAGCGCATGAACGCTTTGCTCGCAAGCGGCGAGGTGCCTGGCCTGTTTGAGGGCGATTTTTACAAGGATGTCATCCAGGAGTGCAAGTCTGGCATGCCCGATGTGTCCCACATGGTCGATGACGCCGAGATCTTCGCCAAATTTACGAAAGCGGTGTGCCGCAACTTGCACATTGTTTTCACCATGAACCCGGCGAATCCAGACTTCTACAACCGCAGTGCGAGTTCGCCAGCGCTATTCAATCGTTGTATCATCGACTGGTTCGGTGACTGGAGCCGTGACGCTCTGTGTCAGGTCGCATTCGAGTTCACTGAGGACATTGCGCAGTCTCTGACGGCCGAGTCCTTTACACGACTCGAGCACGATCAGCAGGACGATCATCAGTGGCTCCACATCGTATTGGCGGAAAGCATTGTTGGTCTACACGAAATCATCGAAAAGACGCACGATGCCGCACGGCGCGATGCCAAGAAGTACAACTACATCGCGCCGCGGGACTTCCTCGACTTTATTCACCACTTTGACACACTGCACACCAAAAAGGGAACGGAGATTCAGGCCAGTAAAGCGCATATCAGCGGTGGGCTACAGAAACTGGATGAGACCGCGAGGCAAGTGAATAACCTGAAGTTGTGAAGAAATATGTTTACAACGCAAGCGCAAGCGGTAACTACTCTCTCACCGACAATGATATCACATTTTTCTATCATGTTGTTATCTATCCTGATCCTCCTCCCCATCAATATCGAACCCGTCACTTCGGCAGTCTATCAATTGACTCTTCTAACTGCAGCCGGGTTGGAGGAAAAGCGACAACAGGTGGAAGCCAAGCAACGGGAGGCCGAACAGAAAATGAAGGAGATGGTCAAAGGCCAGGGTGAGGCCGAAACGAAAAAGACGCAAACTGCGCAACTTTCCGACAATCTGCGTAAGAAACAAGGCGAAATCGACCAAAGAAAGAAGTCTGTCCAAGACGAGCTGGCAGACGTCGAACCTATGCTGGCAAGAGCAAAAGAGGCGGTCGCGAATATCAGCTCGGCGGCGCTGACAGAGCTCAAAAACATGGGTGCTCATGCCCCACAGGGCATCCAGATCGCGTGCAGGGCCTTGGTCACGCTGCTGAAAAATAGCAACAAGTATGAACAACAGTATACTACGCTGTTAGAGCTAGTGGTGTCGCTGTGTGCGGGCTCTTTTATTTTTTGCCTCGATGAGTTTGACTTTGAGTTTAGATTTGATTAAGTACCTTTGACAACAAATCCAGACTTGCTTCTTTTTTTCGTCCATCCATGTTTTTCTTGACTTTTGCTAACGCTGTCCAGACGCTCCCGATATAACATGGGAGATGGCGAGAAAAGAGATGAAAGATGTGCGCTTAATCGCGAATGTAACCGCCTTCGATCCAAAGGAAATCAAGGATGCTGCGAGAGCGCGCGTCGAATCCTTGACAAACTCGTCAGATTGGGACACGGCGAAAATAGCAAGAGCCTCTAAAGCAGCAGGTCCTTTGGGAATATTAAGGCACGTTGTCAAGAATTTGACATTGAATTGAAGTACAGGGTCGGTAAAGCTCTACCTGATTATTACATTCATATTTTATTCAGCATCTCGTTTTATTCGTTGTCCTTCAATAGTAGAAGACGATCTACCTCTGAGAAGTAGGATTTTTGAGTCTTCCAGTTCCACTTGTAGTTTAAGAAATCATGCGTAGAGGTAGAGTCAAGGACATGCTGAAGAAGAGGTCTAAGGATATGGGTTGAGGCGCAACTGCGCTATAGTACAATCTTGATGCGGATGGGGCCGCTTCGTGCCGAGCTGACAGCACTCGAAAACGAGGCTGAAGAGAGCAAGAAGGGAATTGCAGCGAACGAGATTCAGGTGAAAGAACTCGAAGCGAAGCTGGAGCAATATCGTGCAGACTATGCGCAGCTGACCATGGCAGTAGAAAAGCTGAAGGCACAGATGGACAGAGTGAAGCAAAATGCCGGTCGAGCTGAGAAACTCATGGCGGACTTGTCGGGGGAAATGCAAAGATGGACTGAGAGCACTGCGCAGTTCGACGCACAGTTGCTGAATTTTATGAACTTCAAACGAGCGTGAGCCTACTTTTCGATTTTAGTATAGAAGAAGTAGATGAAGCAACATCAGTTTTTCGTGAATGTACTAAAGGGGAAATCGCTAGAATCAGAAAAAAACTAAAAATGCACTTTGAGACTCGCCCTTCGCGTTGCAAAATGATCCGATCACTCAGGCGGAGCCGCCTCTGCTGCGTTTCTGAGTTCCCCTTGCCCCACGCGCGGGCCAAGGGCCACTGCGCACGAGCTTGCCCCGCTCTACCAGCAAGCCGCAGCGCTTTGCAAGCGCCAACCGACCAGCAAGAGGACCCGAACACCGGAGGGAGGGCGCCCAAGAAATGGGAGGGCCCCCGCGATCGATGCGTCTGGAGTCTCCAGGAATGTGCCAACTCACACATTGTGAACACTTGGCAGCGCATTGGCAGAGGGATCGCCAGGCAGTTAGTAGTGTCTGCCCGCATGCCTGCGGCGCTCTGGCGGGTGGCTAGGAGCTTCCATTCGAGCCCCGTCCGAAACGCTAGAATGGGACCAAAGGGGGTGGCGCAACGAGGGTCGTCCGAAACGCTAGAATGGCGATACTCGTCGCGTCCGAAACGCTAGAATGAAAAGAGAGGGGGTCAAGGGGTTGGCCCCCTTTGGTGCCCAAAAACTTTTTTTTCGCGCACCCTTTTCGAGGACGTTCAAGGGGAGGGTGGCTGCCACCTTCAGCCGATGTACCACGCAAAGGGACACCCCGAGGCAGCCGCCGGCGCCTCTGCTCCAGTGCCACGCCCTTGGCTGGATGGTCCCGGCCTTTTTGACCAAGGTGCGACAAAGATGGCCGCCTCTCACTGCTATGGGGAGCGCCAAGCCCAACGAGGCAAGGAGTCCGGGAGGCCGCTCCCCAGGGTCCGACGACCATCGGGTGGGACCGGGGGAAGGCGTCCGCTTGCTCTAGAAGCAAGCGCCTGGAGCGCTCTCGTGGTCTTCCTATTACAGTGGGGCCTGCGCCCAGCTCTTAATGAGGGGCGCGGTGTTGGGTTAACGCTTGAGGGCATTTTTAGTTTTTTTCTGTTTCTAGCGGTTTCCTGGTCAGTAAATGCATCATTTGTATTTGATAGAGAATACTTAGAGGATAGAGTTTCCCGTCTCTAACACCCTACACGGCGACACGCTTTTGTCCGCTGCCTTCCTAGCGTACATTGGCTTCTTCGACGTCTATGCACGACAACAAGTATTGCGAGAATGGGAGACATACTTAGCAGATGAAAGAGGACTCAAATTTAGTCCAGCTTTGTCAGTTACCGATTATCTCGTGACGACGACAGAGCGTTTCCAATTCGTCTCCAACGGGCTCCCAGACGACGAACTTTGTGTCGAAAATGCTGTCATCATCAAAAATTATCAGAGGTATTCCGTTTCGTGTTCAGGTGCACTAGAAGTACTAGATTATCGCTGCACTCACTTTTATTGTCTTTGCTTCTTCATTCATGAATTCTACACTCGCCTGGGCCTACTTAGCTCATTTGTATTGGTGTCAACAAAGAAGTCATTCGAAATTCAGATAGTGTTATTGATTCCTTCTCACCTTTCCTCCAGGTATCCCTTGATCCTGGACCCAAGCGGGCAGGCTTTATCGTGGCTCCAGCAAGAGTACAAGAAAAAGGAAATGCACGTCACCTCCCTCTTGGACCCGAAGTTCTACAAGATTCTAGAGTCAGCAGTCCGGTTCGGCACCCCGGTTTTACTGACGGATGTGGAACGACTAGACCCTGTTTATGGAATACGAAACTTTTGCAACGCAAGCCTAACGCTACTAAATGTTGGTGTGCTTCATCACAATCAAAAATGTTTAACTCCTCTGGGAATGAAGAAAATAGGAATTTTCCCAATCCAGGTGTCAAGCCTCATTTCAATAATTCTTGCAGTCGCACCAGAGTATACCGAATGATTTTTCGCACTGGTCTACCATGACACTCATCTCTTTCATACCCTCCTGAACGGCATCTTGAACAAAGAGACGCACAAAAAAGGTGGTCGATCGATGATCACCTTGGGCGACCAGGAGGTCGATTTTTCGCCAGCCTTCGAGATTTTTCTGAGTTCGCGTGACAGTGCGCATAACTTTGCCCCCGACCTCTGCAGCCGTGTGACCTTCTGTAATTTCACGATAACACCAGCGTCATTGCAGAGTCAAGCCCTGAATATGCTGCTCAGGCAGGAACGCCCAGATGTAGAGAAAAAACGCCGTGACGGGATGCTGCTACAAAGTGAATTCAATTAAGGCGCTTTGCTCCACTTCAGTAGTTCGTTGATGGTTTACAAGATAAGCAAGATGAGACTCGGTTGAAGATAGTGATGAGCAGTGATGACGTGGCTGGTTTTTCTTTTTCTAGTAGTAGTACATTCCAGTGCACTTTCCTCGACGTGCAGTACAGATGTTGTAGAATCTAATTTTTGGTGAAAGCCCGCGAAATGGAAGATGGCCTGCTTTCTGCACTCGCGAACGTGGAGGGCAGTATCTTGGAAGACCAGACAGTATTGACAACAATGGAGAAGATAAAAGCGGAGAGCGCGCAAATCAAAGAAGAATTCGCGAAAATGGATGAGGTCATGCGTGAAGTCCAAGAATGCACAGCAGAGTACGAAAATTTGGCGCGGGCTGCAACAAGAAGCTACTTCTCACTGGAAGCGCTCACTGCAGTGCACGACCGATTGTACCGATATTCCTTGGATTTCTTCTTCGAAGTGCTCCGAGTGAGTATTTCAGATCCATCCATAGCGGCAGAACCAGGTGCGCCTTCGGGAGGAGCGAGTGCTCCGGATAGTAAGATTATGTTGAGGATGTCCTTGTCTAGCTTCAAAAAGAGAGCATGTTGTCGGCTCTTCATGTACGAGTTTGTTGTTTCCGAAATATTGTCAAAGGTGCCACTGGACTTTCATTCTGCATTTTCGTTTTCCTACGTTCCCTTTGTTCCGTCTTTTGACGATGTTAGATTTTTGATTAGTCATGTTGCTCTAATAAAAGCAGTGAAAACTACGCGCGGCGGCGTGCGCGCATTGAAGATCTGTTCTTTCGAACGCTGTTTGAGTATGTGGCGCCAGGGATGTTAGTGAACGACCGATTGGGCCTTGCGCTTCGTCTTGCGCAGATCCGCGCCGATATGGACGGACTAGGCTTGGATCGCGACGCCCTAGCGGTGTTGCTGAAGGGTGCGGCGGTGCTTGAAGGGTCGTCTAAGGGAGGATCGTCAGGACAGCAGACGTCTGGAATCTTGGCAGGCAGTGTGCCGTTTTTGTCAAACACCCAGGTGCGGTCGCTTGAGGCCATCTTAGCTTTGCCGGGACTGCAGGGACTGCCGGAACACCTGAAGCAGAACGGGAACGCGTGGTCGGCGTGGCTTTCCGCGAAAGATTCAGCGAAAGATGCTCCAGTTCCAACTGGTTGGTTCAAGTACACGGCGAGCGGCCGTGCGTCAAGTAGCACCGCAGTAGCAAGTTCTGTAGGTAGGCTTGGGCGCGGCGAGGATACAACGAAGCGCGCAGCTACCGCAAGTGAGCGACTGCACGCTTGCGTCGTCGCGAAAGCGCTTGCGCCAGATCGGCTTCCAGCCCTTTTGTCGGATTTCACGCACGACATCATGGGTGCGGAGTTCCTGCACCTCGCGCCCTTTGACCTGGAGACGCAGATGCAGCAACAGGAAAAAGCGGGAAGCAACCGGCCCATGCTGATGGTGTCGCAGCCAGGCTTCGACCCCAGTGGGCAAGTCGTATCGTTAGCCGCAAATGTGAAAAGACAGTGCCAGAGCATGGCTATGGGCAGTCGCGAAGGTTTCGACGCGGCGGATTCGATGATCCTGTCGTCAGCGAAAAGCGGACAGTGGGTCATCTTGAAGAACGTGCATCTGGCGGTCGATTGGCTTAAATCGCTTGAAAAACGGCTGGCGAACATCCTGAAGAGCGCGAACAAAGAGTATTCTCAGTCTCCATTATTTTATGCTATTACCGATACCGTGTTCATTTTGTAGGGGAATAAGGAGTATACTGGCTTAGCCTGTTGCGAATACCATAGTAATAATTTGCGATATTTATGGAGTTATGCTTGCGTCTACTTCTTTGGTCCACTAACTTGTCCTTGCACTGCAGAGTTTCAATGTTTTCTTTATCATCTACTTCCAACCTCTGGAGGCACAATGAATGAAATACAGAAGCTATTTCCTATACTTGCTTCTACCCAGTTTCCGATTGTTCCTGTGCATGGAGATGTCGGTGAAGTTGCCTGCGAATCTTGCGAAGCAATCACGCATTTTTGTGTTCGAGCCACCAGCGGGTATGCGAGCCTCTCTGCAGCGCAGCTTCGCCGGCGCTCTGCAAAGTGACAGAAGCGACGCGCCGCCAGTGGAACGGTGTCGCCTGCATTTCCACCTTGCAGTGTTGCACGCCATTGTCCTAGAGCGCGTGCGGTATGCGCCTGTCGGGTGGACGAAGAAATACGAGTTTTCAGACGCAGACTTCCGTTGTGGACTCAGTGTCCTAGATACGTGGATCGCACGGACGTGTGGTGCAAAGAACGGGCAGAGCTTTCCGTCAAACGTGGATCCGAGTGTTTTACCCTGGGCGGCGATCCAGCACTTGCTGGTAGAAGTAGTCTACGGCGGACGCATTGACAACGATTTCGATAAGGAGCTGCTGCGCAGTTTCGTAAGCCACCTCTTTTGCGAGCGAGCGTACACACGTGGATTCCTCTTGAATAATTATGGAAAGCTTGAAGTTCATTTGTTCTCCGGAGAAGACGTACAAGTAATCACGCATTCGTTTTTTGATTCTAACCTAGATTCTATAATACCTACACACAAGATAGTCTCTGGGCATATTTTCAGATCGTAGATATGTCGTGGATACAGGTTTCTTTGTTTATGCTTCAACGTCAACAAATAGATGAAAACAACCACTACTACACTGGTGAGTCTCATCTCCCTCTTCATAGTTCAGACGAGTCTGTCCCGCTGGCAGCACCAGAGGGCGCACGCAAACTGACGGACTTCGAGGCCTGGGTGGCCCAAATGGATGCTAAAGGGTCGCCCGCGTGGCTCGGCTTGTCGGCTCAGGCGGAGAAGATGCTCCGCGCCCTCGCTGGATCTAACACACTTGTGCACTGGCTGCAGACCCAGAATGTCGAAGACACAAGCGGCCCGACGTCAGCAGTCGGCAGTACAGCGAAGGTTAAGTCTAGTCGACAGTCGTTACACTACGCGTAGGCCTACAACTATCTCGAAGTGAATCGACCCCCTAGATGAAGTATGTCATTTTGTATTTTATCTAGAATCCGTAGTCAGTGTAGCCACAGGCATTTGTAAGAGTAAGGGAAACTGATGTAGATGCTCACGCTGAATCTGTATGCCGGGGACAGCAGTTCTACTAAGAATCCAAAAGACGGGGAGGCGAAGCAATCGAATGCACTGGGGGAGTTGAGACAGAAAGTAGAGCAGATCTGGAATGCACTCCCACAGGACAACGCGCTGCGGGAAGGACACTTACCTCCCCAAAGTCGCGGACAAGACGCCGATCCCATGTGGCGGTGCTTCCATCGTGAGTTTTTAGTGGTGTCGGGACTCCTGATCCGGATCCTTGGCGATTTGCAGGCGCTGCGGGAGGTCTGCGAGGGCACCCAGCGAATGAGCAACGCCTTGCGCTTGGTGTCAAATAAACTACAAGTCGATCTTCCGCCCCTTTACTGGTTGAGCGCGTATCCAATCAGCAACAAGCTGTCCTCCTTGGAGTTATGAACGGAGCGGTCTCCAAATACTAAAATGGTTAGATACTTCGCCACATGGAGCAACAAGAAACAAATGAGGATTTCGTTGCCATGTTGGCGGTCTGATGGCTGATTATCTCAGTATCTTCAAGGAAGTTGTTTTGGTTTTCCGCAGGCCCCCGCCGGGTACTTACTTGTAAAAAGCAAGTTGTGCTGACCATTGATTTTCTAAACCTTTGGGTGCGTGATTTTCGACGACGGGCTGAGCAACTTGTACAAATGCTTTCGGGTTCTTCGTCGCTGTCTGACCGATTATCTCTGTGGGTAGGCGGCTTGCTTTTCCCCGAAGCCTTTCTGTCAGCAACGCGACAAGCAGTGGCTCAGCGCAATACATGGCCGCTAGAGCAACTAGAGCCGCAGGTGGAGCTTCTCGGAGAACGCCATTAAGAAATTGCAGTTTTTTTAGCTTTTGCTGTACAGCTCAATGCGAAGGATCCATAACCTAACCTTACCTGTATACAAACTGCAAGTCTGTATTTGAATGGGAACCGTCCCGGAAGTACTGAGAACGGATTTTTGGTTTGCATCGTCTCTTCTCCTTGTAGTGCGTCTGTCCACGCTGCGGATCTAATCTCAGCAAGTTGCAGACAGTGGATGCTGTTGGATATTAAAGGGGTGCGTTCTTGAAGGTGCCCATGCTGCCGAAAACCGACTTGAAGTCAGCGACGACCTGTCTCAAGAAATGCCGCCTTTGCGTCTGCGTTGGGTCCTTAGAGACGAGGCAGAGAACGCAAAAAGCAAGGACAAAGTTAGGCTACGAAAATTACATCCCCGCCAAGCGGATTTGTTGAAGGGAAATCATGGTTCTAGAAGGCAGAGGTAGAAATAGATTTAGAGATAAATTTAGCTTTAGAAGTAGGGTGAGAAAGAGGACATCAAATGAAAAGCCAAAGCTGCTGCAGCTAAGAAGCTAGATGTGAATGAAACGGGTTACAACAGGTTGGCTGGCCTTTCCACTCTACTTTTATCGTATCATGAGCTCCAGTACTACTTACAAGAACTACTTCTACCTCTAACAAAAGCAAAGCCCAGCAGGGACTCTCGCTGTGGCAGATTCCGGTTTACCTCAACAGCGAGCGCGCACAGCTAGTGACTTCGCAGCTCTTCCTCGCTGCACAGGGCGCGGAAGCGGTCTGCCGGCAGCGTGGTGCGGCGATCATCTTTTGGAATTGTTGATTATAATCTTGTTAATACTGAGGCATCAATGAGCAAGGAAATCGTAGTGAATTGGGTATCGTTTTATTCGTTTTCTACAACACGACATTCACATGAAAGCTTCTACACATGTTTTTCCACGGCTTCAATCAATGATTTCTTTTTCTGTAACCTAAATCAAATACAAAGAAATACAACAAGAAGTCTACACCTATGACTCTTGCACACTCGAACCTCGCCAAGAATTGATATAACTGCTCAATGCTTGGTGAAGTTTCCTTTTCTAAGCAGGTTTTGATAAATATGATATTAACCATATTTTGATTTTTACTTATAAATTGCTAGTGTGATTGTTTCATGTAGTCAAAAAGTTAGATCGNGGGGGGGGGGGGGGGCCTCCCGCCCCGAGCCCTGGAACATACATAGATACCAAGTAGTTTGTGAATAAGATGGGTCGCCGTGATCATCGTGGGCCATTGATTTCCCTGGATCATTAGACACCAGTGGGGGATTTCGTCACCAGCGATACTCGAATGATCATTAGAGGTAGTGGCAGTGGTCCATCTCGACGCCAGGGTCAGCGCTTTTTAGGAGCATATTAGACTTCTAAGAAATGTTTATGTTGTTGTTGTATCTAAAATGAATGACCTTGTTTGAGATTGGGATGCTTTGGGGGGTGACAGCATTAGTTTCCTCGTCGACGGTAATAAGACTACTAGATTTCGTCGCAGCTATGAATTATTTGAATGATAAAGCAAGGCGGGTTCATTGTCCGCGGGAGATTTTCTATCTCATTGATATGATGCCATTGTTTTCTCGCCTCTCTCACACGGTGATTTTGTGTTCGCAATCGGAGTCGAATACAGCAAGTTTCGTGGATAGTTTCTTCTGTTAGTACACAAAATTTGGCGAGTCGTGTTCCTCTAAATAGTACGGAGAGTACATCGATATCCGGATCGAATCTGAATCTGAATCTGAATCTGAATCGATATCCCCATCTGAATCCGAATCTGAATCCGGAAGCCCGCTTGGTTTCCGCTTGTACCTAAAAATTCGGTAGGCATGAATGAGAATTGGTCGAATTCTACTCAGAACTCGTGCCAGATGACGTCGTCCTCTAGAGCGAGAGACGACGAAGAATTAGACCGAGAAGCGAATTCTGACTATGACCACGACACGAAATGCCTGTCCCCCTCCCCTTAGGAAACTGCCTGTCTACTAATCTTGGTCGCCACCTTCGAGATCGATGAATCGCTTGACTAAAACCAAGCCTGCCCAAAAGCTTGCTAGTAATGAAACTTGTAAGTTGTTCCGTACGTGCAGGGCTTAATTTTAGCATTTTTCTTTACTCTTTGTAGTCAAAAAGAATACGTAGGAGAGAAAGTGCAGGATTCTCGGCTGCGAGCCCTCCCTGAAGGTGGCCCACCTTGAAAACGCATTTATCCACCTGAGGACTAGCCGTAGGGGGTAATTGAATGGCGATTCCTCGCCTTGAAGGTCAGGTACCCGGTAGAAGGTCTCCGTCTCCCCCTTGCCCAATTCTCCAGAAGTGGCGGTCGCGCGCATAGCAGAAAAACTACTCACAACTGCTGCAGTCATAGATCGCCTTCTTCGGTGCAGGTTCCTTTTTTTGAGCAATCACTGTTCTCTCCTTGCTCTTACATCTGATCTTCGTCCTACCACTGTCCAACTTATTGCAATCCGATGATCACGGATATTATTCCACGCCTGCCCCTCCACGTAAAGGTTCAAGAGAAAGGTAATCAGTGGACCTTATCTCAGCGACGTCTCCTTGTGGGTCCACAGGCACGAGTGAGGCTCAGTTTCATTTTCGCCAGGCTGTCGCACTTAGCGTTCTAGCTGGAGTGGATCCCCTTGAATCTTGAGTCCGTCTTTCGACGTCATCTTGCAGTTAAGGCAATCCTGGGTCGTGCATGTTACGAGAGCTCGGAAAAGAAAGCTCGCGATGCGTTTGCTGTTGTATCATCAAATGGCTTTGAAGCTGGATCTACTAATTCTAATTTCTTGTCTTGTTCAGCTTTACTCGATTCTATTTTCATATCGAGGCCTCTGGAGTCAACCTGGCTTGATGTTAGTATTGTGAGGTGGATACCGGCCAAAAAGTTGGTCTGGGAGCAGACAGGCGAGACCTGCAGATAGCAGTAAAGGATTACAGCCCTGTAGAATATGGGAGGTAGCCGGGAGTGGAACTAATTCCAATCGCATCAATCTTCTGTAAGTAAAGAAGTCAACACCACGACCGCGTGCTTTGAGCGATCGATGATCTGGCCGTGTTTGAATCTAGAGAGAAGATGGCGCTTGGTGGCGGATTTCATGATTCTGCTTCTGTCCGGTGGCCTGCGTGCGCTACAACTACCGAATTCAAAGCGGATCAGCGAGTCCAGCCTAACCTAGTATACGGAGCATCATTGCCGAAGCTAGAGAATTCGGACAAAAAATTCGTGGAGCAAAAAGAGTATTTCAGCTCCGACGAATTCGCGAAATGGGCTCTCTGGTTCTCCAAGGAAGCGGTATCTCCAAGCAAAGTGTGCACGCAAAACTGAACAGTACCTCTTCAAGACAGAATCCTTCCGCAAGTACGTGACAAAGTATCCCGCAGATGCGAAGGATCACTTCTGGCAACAGGCAGAAGAATTCTTCTTTAAAACTGGTGTACGTGTATTCAAGGAGTGCGAAAAACAATCTCGCAGACGCGCTCCAGAAATTACCGCAGGAGACGGAAGACAACTTCATCAATACACCTGACTTCAATGGCTCACAGGAAAAGGTATCTATGCCGTTGTCGACGAAGAAGGAAGTTCAGTCTGATGACTCCGGACGAAATGAGCCTACTCGTGTCATGATCGAACTTTTCTGCACATCCTTCTGGAGAAACATACATTCAAGTCGAACTGCGTACAAGTCTCTCGAAATAGAACCGTGAGGAAGCTCGCTGCAGTTTTAGCATCCAATTCGTGATGAAATGAACGAAGTGGCTTGGCAGTGCGGCTGCTACTATTGCTTTGCGACTAGTAGTATTGAGAAGATGACTCGAGCTCCAGGAGGAAGCATCATCTCCCTGCTTCTGACTACAAGTCGTGGTGGCATGGTGATGACCGGAGAAGGAAGCAAGTATCTTGACCTTGACCTTGTTTCAGGGCACATTGACGCGCTGCGTCACAGAATCGGTCTCATATCTGACATTGTCACGTATGATGTTGGATCTATACTAGTTGTTCCGAATTATAGTAGTTCCACTAACGCCGAGAGAGTTTTTCTTTCCTCCTGATCCACATGAACAACGCACTGAAGTCTGAGGCTACCGCGTCGCTTTCATCCTTGATGTTGTCGAGTCTTGGGCCTCCGGTTCTTTCGAAACATGGAGCAGATACAGCCCTACGCAAGCTAGCTCCTCAAATGAATGCACAGGAGCAACGAAGGAAGATCAAGAGAAAGAAGAAGTCCAAGCGGATGATCTATCCGAGCTGTCTCCTCCTATAATATTGTGAAAAATGTGACCGAAAATTTACAGCACTTTCTTCGTTCGCTTTTTACTCTTTTTTGAGTGAGTATCGGCGATTGTACTAATGCGCTTAGCCTACATACACAGAGTCTCTCTTGACGCATACCCCTGTCTTGATTATTTGCCCTTGATTATTTGTGATTCATTGATATCGGTTTTTGGCCCTTTTTTCACTTTCGTAGCATCTTGTCCTCGCGGTTTCTTTGGTGTTTAGATTTAACAAAATGACCGATACACGTCTTCTGACTAGTTAAGGTAAACACAAGGTCGAAGACTGCCGACATTTTTGGCCTTTCCTTCGTTCTTTTTTCACTTGCGTAGCATCTTGTCCTCGCGGTTTCTTTCGTGTTTAGATTTAACAAAATGACTGGCACGTGTCTAAATACATAGTTAAGGTAAACACAAGCGCGAATACTGCCGAAAAAGGTGTCACTAAAGCTCTGCTTTCTGCTGATCCTGGTACTTCGTCTAATCTTTGACTACATGGATTCTGGGACTCAAAAACCTTCATGCGTGAGCCCTCATGTGAAAGAAGTATTAGTGACACTGGAAGCACGTAACGCGTTTCCAAGAGATAGGTAACAAGTATACCCGCGCTCGCATTTCGTCTGATTTATTTCTGAGAAGAAGGCTGAATGTTGACCGAGGAGGAGGAGAATACCGCACTTGTTGAATGGAGAACCGAGCAAAATAATAAAAAGCAGAGCCATACGATCTAATTTCTGACTTAAGTGGCTAACAACTGACGATGGATTTCCGAGTTCGAGAACTCCCAGCTCATGACACATCAGGGTGACGAGATTCCACTTTCTAATAATTAAATGAAAAATTTTTCTTGTAGACGACGGCAATGTTGTAGTTCATTGTATGTAGTGCTATCAGATTTTTTGTTCTCCTTTTCAAGTCAATCTCATCTGTCCTCAAGTAATTCCAGAATATCGAATTATAAAGCGAGTAGCACGACCGTCAACGACAATAAGCAAAATGGGTCGATTCGTGCTTCCTTCTGCCATCTGCGCTGCAGGCATTCTTGCCTTCTTGGGTTTCACTGCTGTTGGCGCAGTGCGTGTGCATGGGCGTGGACGTAATAAGCAGGCGCCCACCATGCCCGCTTCTTGGAAATGTCTTGGTGCTGTTGGTTTCACTTTCAGTGTGCTTGGTGCGGCCACCGCAGAAGCAGGCTCTGCCTGTAACGATTTTGGATCACGTGAGGAGATGTTATGGGAGTTTTTGAGTGGTAACTTATTTCCTTCAGGAGGAAGAGGACCAAGTAGAGGTATTTGAGGATACCAAGTCAGGAGTAGTTCTTTAAGTTTTTCCAAAGATTATCAGGAGGATGTCTCAGGATTCAGGACTTCAAGGATAATGAGGATCATGCCTAACAAGGATACTGCAGGATCATGATGAAGGCTCGGGAAGCAGGGGAACGACCACGAGCAAATATGTTTTACTCGGTAGAGTTGGTTGTGCCAAATACATAATAACGAGGTAAGAACAATGTTTGTATACTGAAAAATTGTCAAGAAAACTTCTAAAGAAGCAAGGGTATCTGGTTCACTCGCTGCATCAGATAGAGAACGGAAAGATTGGGCCGCTATATCGAAATTTGGACTCTTCCCCGGAAGAAGGTGACTCACCGAAGCCCTTTTGCGGCTCTTGGGCCGATCATAAGCACTATAAAGAGCCACTAGCCCTGCCCCCCGCACACGGTCATCCTTTTGATGCTCGTGGGAGCACGTGGGATTGTCGCTCGGAGGGTGATGTTTATTGCAATTTCGACAATCAGGTGCACGCAAAAAGCGCGGAGCTTGACTCTCTCAGCAGATCTATCTGCCTGCAACGCCAGGTTGGGCCGGAGCTCGCGCGCCTCCTGTACGACGTCCACAATGTGCACAATCAGTGCACGACTCGCAGTGTGCTTAGGTTTCTCGCTCAAATCAACGAACCCATCATGTTGAACAGCAACGGCGAACAAGTTAGTACTATGCCGGCGAGCTCAACTACAACACGTGCCTCGTCAAGCTCAACATCGGAAGATGTAGAAGGTCGTAATGGACGAGTCGCGTGTCCATCGTACTCCGGCACTGGGGAATTCAACGGGAGCGAATCTCATTGCTACGGAAGGCGCTCGAGAAACATGATTTGTAACTTGTTGTACCGGTGAAGACAGTGACAATTTTCGTCACCGATAATTGATTACTTGGAAATGCTCCACAAATGTTTTTTCCCCTGTTTTTTTCTTTTTTTTTCCATGTTCGGTATCGGTCGCGGAAGTCTGGTTAAGACCGGACGCATCCGTTCAGGGGGCGCTTAGGAGGATGTCCCGGGCCCCCTTCCGCTCGGTAAGTTGTTTTTGTTTTGGTTTTTCTGAGAGTACCCTTCTTCCCCCTACAAATAAATATGTCTACGAACATGCAGAATGTTAAGGCTTAGATAATTAACTCGTAAGTACTTCTAGATTAGGTGCTACAGTACAGATATCATGCTGTGCATTGTGTAGCACAACGTGTTCATACTTCATAATTGCTAACCTAACATTGCCTGTATTTCTCGGCTCTTATCTCTTGCTTACCAGTGATTATCTGGAAATGCTGATGCTCTTTCGAAGTTGATTTTTGTATTGAGTTGGTTGTGAAACAGGAACTCCGAATGTGGAGGTGTAAGAAGCTTAAGCTACATACATTTTTATAAATGTTCCAGGGTCCAGGGTCACGCCGGCCTCCGAACGGCGGGGGGAGGCGGGAGCCCCGGACCCCTTTTCGCCTAAGTAGTCTGTCGTGGGTGGAAGGCCTCAAAAGGAAGCCTAGGGTCCCCCTTCGCTCCCTTCCGGCTGTCTGCATGTACCCTACAGGCTTCCAACGTGCTGGCCCCTCTCCGCAGCAGTGTGCCGGGTGGGGAAGGCGGCAAAGAAGGCAAGGCTTGACCCCCTTAGCCGTGTGGCCTGTACCCAAAAGAACCCAGCCGGGTAACCGTCCCCACTTGCCCCGACCCTCCTGGCGTCCTTGGTCTTCAGCTTGCTGGCCCTCACCGCGCATTTGATGCGGGCAACCCAGCAAAAGGGACCAGGCTCTGATACCGTGGACGCCTTCGGCGACCTTCTACCCCGTCCCCGGCGACCTCCTCCCGGCTAGGGTCGGCTGAGGACGGGACGCCTGGAGGGTACACGCAGAGAGACATAAGGGGGCCCCGGCTCCCATTTTTGACGTGTCACCCCAAGAACCCGCGAAAAACCGAACGAAAAAGTGCGCGCAAGCGCCACCACAGGGCCATCCACAGGATGGGGGCGCGCGTCCCTGTATCATATTTATAGGATTGCCATCTATCTACTGCTGAGAGTGAATTTATTTTGAACATTGGTATCGAGTCTCGGTATCGAAACCGATCTGCTCTAACTTTATGATGCTCGCATGCTGACATGGAGCAGGAATGATAGTTACATGGCAGTTGCTGATGCCGTTAGCTGTGTAAGTTTAGGCCTCAGTCCTAGACTCTGGATGGCCCTCTTCCGCAATCCGATGGCCACCGTTTTCGCCGAATTATGGTGAAGAAAGTGAAATAGCAAGGACACCCGTTAAAAGATTATACTGTTTTTTTTGTTACCGACAACGATAGCATGAGAAATAGTAACAGAAATTGTAGACGAGGGAGCGCTAACAGACGCACTCGTACGGTAAATTCAAATCTATTGGAACCGACTTAGATGATGCTCTGCTATGCAAACTCACTTACCTCCAAGGACTGACTTTTATACGATGTCTGTCATGATAATTTCCCTTTTTGTGACGTAGAAAAAATACGATCGTGGTATTGTTTTCTAGAAGTTTTAAGATCGTGGTATTGTTTTTCCACCAGCTCCTCCTCTTCATTTGCGTCAGGGCGTTTTTACCTCCGTGACCCCCTGCTGCGACAGGGAGTGTTGATCAATTTCATGGACGTTCTAGCGGAGAATTACGGAAAATCGCTCGCAGAGCTCCTACGAAAGTTTCAGCTGCCGCATCAAGACTACATTTATGATTCAGAAGTAGAATGCAACGTCAACAGCGCGACACTGGCGTAGTTCTTGTGCCCTTTCCAGAAGACAGCACCCTGGATTCAATAGACTGACTCACGAGAATCTGCGTGTAAAGACGAGCACGATGACAAGACCTGCATAATGACAAATTTTGACTCAAAGTATCTTTCTCTAATCCCTTCTGCATTTCGCAGCAACGAGGCTAATCGATTCTCTTCATCCGGTCGTCGACCTGTGGCGAGCCCTATTGCCGGAGGGTATATGTTTTTTTGGCTAGGACGAATGCTTATACCCATGGATACGAGCACTTCTAGAAGACAAAGCAACATTTTATTTAAATAGTGTTATAATATATGCGCATGAAGACTAGTCCTAATCCCATTGACCACTAAGACCACAAGGCTTTCGTGAGTATTCATTGTTGGCATTCAACGACATGCAATCTCATTCTGCTAGGCATGTCGGTTTCGATCATCAATCATTAAGTTCAGCATCGCCACGGTCGCCATTATCGTCTTCATCATAATCACCATCCTGGCAGGTATTCGCACGGAACTGGATGTCGATTCGCTCCGCCGGGGACTTCGTGCGGGCGCTATGCGGCTCGCAAGGACCGGAAGCTGGGACAGGCTTGTACTCGAACCTGCAAGAGCTCACATTTTCACTGATTAAGGCTACGCCCATATGCCCCTCTAGTATCGCCGCCTCTTCTCTTCAATTAATGAAGAGTATCTTCAACTTCATATACATCTTCTGCTATCAGCAGTTCTCTTTTTAGATGATGCTAATACCCCGTAGAACGGTATCCACTACTCAACACCAACTACTACAACAACAACATTTATAGTGTGTGAGGCATATCACACTAATTAGCCATAATTCAAGTGATCCCGCCTTAACAGGAAAACACTGTCCCTGGGATACTAAAGAGGCTTCATCACTTTGAGCATGATATATAGATCATGCTTCATTAAAAAGATGGGCGACGCTCCATCTTCTCTACGTATGGCAAAGTTTGTAGGCTGAGCCTGAAAGCCTGAGCAAGTGCAAGACTAAGACATGGCCATTAGGTAGTTGCCACGACAACATATGAATGTTCTAAGTTGATGCTTTCGCTGACGTGGAGCGTTCCTTTGCGTGAGCTGACGCTGGAAGACGAGTATGACGGTAACCTGGGAGACTAAGTAATGTGCTTCCACGGAATAAACAAGAATTTTCTTGTTCATTTAAGGGCTGCCACTTGAGGACCACCTCACCAAATTCAGACTGTAGCATACTATCACCCTCTAAGCTCCTGCAATGGGGAGTGGTAGACTTACTGGTGAGGTCACTGGATAATATCTAAGTTCCCTTTTTTCTTGAGCTAGATTTAGTTGCCCTTCGGATATTATACTCGAGCTTCTACCAGCACATTGACGTTTTTACGTCACAAGAAATACTGCTGAACATGCGCCAGATCTATGATAATATGGATTGACTTGTGATGATGATTGCGAATGCAGTCCCTGATCATTTCAGTCGCCTCTTCTTGCTCAATCCTATTCGAAACTTATTTATCCAAATCTATTTCTTCATTTCTTGTGATTCTTATGAAGGTATTGAGAATCGATGCGTTTCTTGTTTTGGAAAAAGTTCCCCACTGGTATTCTTCGTTCACATCTAATGTGGTCTTGAATTTTATTGGATGTTTCTTTTATTTTCCTGCAGCCTTCTCGTGCTATTATTGGGACCTTCTGATCCTTTTTGCGGAATGATGATGAGAGTCATGATAGGCGATGATATACAGCATCTGAGTGCGTTTTTACTAAAAATCAAAAACATAAAAGACAACTTAAAACTACAAACAAAAAATAGAAATAAAAATTGGCCGTTCCCTTGCTGTAACACTGCCGACAAAGGTGTTGGCATCTTGTTACCTTGCTGATTTCGTTTTCCTTGCGTTTCTGATCCTACTCGGTATCATGATCCCAGGTTAATGTCATCAAAGTGCGCAGCTGTGCAGGCAGGTAGAACAAGACAACACTGGAAGCACTTAGCGCGTGTCTAACTTCCTTACTTTCGATAGCTATCCTTTTTTTCGTGTGTTCACCCTTACGTGATTTACTTCATTTCTTTGTGTCGCTGCATAAGAATTGTTTCATCAAAGGCTGACTGAGGTGGAGTGAAAGTGGAGTTATAAATGAAGTACGAAGAGATGCCGAAAATAAACAAGTAGAAAAGAAAAATCAGCACCATTCGGTCTAAAAAATCTGAAATATTTATTAGAAATGACTGCTCGAGATCATGACTCTTTGTCTTTCAGGGGGTCCGAGCGGCGCACAGAAGAATACGCAAGAACACTCGTGCTCCTAGGTGGGTCGTTCGGAAAGCTGTAGAAGGATACATGTCCACATAGAAGTGAACTGCGCTATCTCCGACTCTGACATACTACTTGAATCTAGTGAAGAAATAATTCGAAGATTGTACAACGCACGAGGTCGAACTGAGCCTGCCTGGCTTTGTTGATGTAATGAGCGCTGACTGGTAACTAGTACTTGATTGCTCCTCCTGCATATTATAATTTATTCTAATTGACTAGATAATAGGGGACTACGACTATGGACGGCCATCTCTTCGTTTACTTTCAGCAGACGGCCTCGCCACATAAAAAAATGTCCTCTTTTACTCTTTCTTAGAGAAACAAATCAAAATTCGTGAATCTTCTTCTTCTTCGTTATTTTCCGACCCAGAACCAGAAGATGAAATATTGTCAAGGAAAAGGAATATAAGCATTTCTGCCTTGTGGTCTCCGAGCGCAAAGTTACACTCCGCTGTAACGACTCACTTCTAATTATATTTCCTGAGAAAATGAAGATGAACAGGAACCTCATCCGTGGAATATAGAGGGATGAGTACTTCTTGTATCTCTGATCGGGTGACTATTGTCCGACTCTATTTAAAATATATTGTCTGAGGTAATCGTCCTGCTCTCTCATGATCCAGAAAAAATTTTGAAGACACGACGAAGCATGAGTGTCAACATGCACGCAGGAGAATCGAGAACTACAGACTGCTACTTAGACAATGTTGAGAATATAACAGGGCGAGGATATTTGTTGATGATGTATTTTCTTGTTCACGAATACACATCAGGAGATTGCAGGACCAATAAATTTAGATTTCCGCGAAGCAAGTACAGGGACCACAAATTGGCAAATTTTTCGTAGAGATGTAATGCAATCTTCAGCACCTCGCATATTCAAAATTTCTTCCGACTGCTGCAAGATTGGAGTTGCACATAGGGAGCTCCGTTTCTCGCGTGTCTGTAATTCTTGAATTCGTTGATCGACTGGACATCGAATGAAAATGATACCTCCCCTCTATGACGAGGAATGAGGGAAAGAAGAGGGTATAGCAAGCACGCGGACACCGCGTCATCGCTACCGTGGAGAATAAGAGCTGAAATAAAAGCACCACTCCTATCCATATTTGAGATGGAAGAATGACACGACCAGAGGTGGTGCCATGTGGCGTCGAAAAGAAAGATTGACTAATGTGCATGTCCAAACACTAAGACTCATGGCGGTAGAAAATTGAAAGTCCTCAGAAGTGGGTCTCAGTACTCGGTGATCAGAGAAAGTCGTCGTATGTGCTCCTTTTTATTGGAATGAATCTAGGATAAAGAGAGCCACGTTTGAGCCCAGGAGCCTGCTGTATTATATATATAATTTCAGTACTCTTTTCGCCATATCATGAGTTAAAACGCCAGTTATACCCATGCAAATTCGTCGCGAAGGAGCGCATAGTGCTTCTTGATGCTGGAGCAGGGCGCTGCGCGCGATGTAGCGCCCTCTCATAGCCAAAGTCCCGCGAAGTGGGGCAGCTCGTTTACCTCTACCGACTCGATGAACGGAACAACGAAAACTGTGAAATTCTTCCCACAAGAGTAGCTCGAAACGAACAGCACGAGTCCCGCTGCGCATTAGAGGACGCCGAGTAGAAAGGGAACGCGGGCACTCCGGATGAAGCGTCAAAATGACGCATACAAGCCCCTCTGCAAAAACTTCTAGTACCTATGGTGTGTCCCTGTCCTTAAATGATCATCTTCTCCTTCATCGCGTCTGGGCATCATCAAGGTGTACTATAAACAACGACTGCGAGTTCTTCTACTGTGCCAGAACGACGAGTTTGCTTCCAACATTTTTAGCGGTCAGTTGGCAACATTGATTGATGCAGCACTGATCACTTCGTACATATCAGCAGGAGACTTGCTCCACAAACATGCCTTGCTGTGGTCCGAAATCCAAGAGGCTGGTGGAGGAGCTACCGACTCTGCCACCGTCGATTCGGAGCAGCGGCGATGTAGAATTGGATATGGACGTGCACGCGGCCGCATCAGAGGAGCAAGAACTAGGGCTGGTTTTTCATAGCCACACGTAAAGCATACAAAACATCCTGAAGGAATAGTTCAAGATTGACTTCTCACCCAGGCCAGCAGAGTGGATCAATTACAAACAAAGTGGAGCTACCTCTATCTCGTCTAGGTCTCGTCTAGCTATCATCTCTAAATTACCGAGATTTCGTGCGGATTTTCCGGGCCTCCAAACCGTCACTGTTTGTGCTAAATCGCGACGCCTTCCAGCAGTTGAGCGCGGCAAACGATCGCGCAGGCGAAACTACCGGTCATGACGTATCAGTTACGGAACTTTTTACATGAATAGCTTGAAAACCCTCCAGTAGGTACACAAAAATACAAAATCATCTGTAAGTAGTATGTCTAGAAGCAAGAAACAAGAAAGTAAAAGCCCCTTGTTGTGAAAGTTTTTCACCGAAGATGCTCATGCTCCTTTGTTCAGTTTGTTCGCCGTAACGGCCCACTACTCAAAACTTGTTTTCTAATTGTTCCTTGTTCATCTAATGCGAGCGGAGTCCGCGCTACAGTGGCGAGCGGGGTTTCCGTCACTGAGCGAGATGTCGATGACGAAGTTGAGCACTTTCTCTTATGATAGAGAGCCCCTCGGGTGAACACCCATGTTGACCCTAAACAGATAGAAGATTCTTTCAAGAGTTCTTATAAATATTCAAGTTGTTGCTGCTTATTTGAGCAGGACCCATGCGGAGATCTCGTTGCATCATCTTGATAACGCATGCAAGGCGTTTTGGTAAAAAGTGACAGAAAACAACTTGATCGATGTAAATTTAGTTGATCATGTTTCATCTTGGTCATAGTCATTGCTTGATCTTCCAACGCGTAGGCTAAGAGCAATGGCACTAGATAAAGCGGTTTGTTTCTTCAGTCCGTGTCGGCGTCTGTCACATTCCATCATCTTCACGGAGACGGAGAATATCTGCATAGGCCGTAGACATCTAATTCTAGTAGGGCTTTTATCTAATACCTGGCCAACTTCGAGACCAGGATCCAGAGGGCATTCTGCGACCATTTACGGATGAAGAACTTCGACGGTTTGTTATCAAGCATATATCAGTGGAGCAGAGTTTTCAATTTTGCGTACGCGAAGGTCTGGCGCCGCTCTATCTTCAGCCTAAATATCTCGTTTTGCTCTCGGAGAAAGAAGGTACTTTTCCTGAGCAGTTCGTTGGCCTAGAGTCGTACTTTTAGTTAGTAATTTATTCTCTGATGTGCGGCTGCGGTTCACGTGATGAAGATGAACACAACGGACGTAATAAGTTGAAGACTCTTCTATTTGTAGTCCGCCCACCACGACCTCATCCTCCGAGTAACTTGTTTCTTTCTTGGATTTGCGTTTGCACTTCACTCTCGTCCTACTCAACATCCTTTGACGAAGTAACAAGTCTAAGTGATCTCCTCCTTGCGGCCGAGGTCAAGCTGAGTAATGTTTTTACTCTCGTCAGGCATCGTTATAGTAACCTACGGCTTTGTTGCGGAAGCCGCAAAATGTCAAACACAAGTGGTGGGAGACAGGCCAGACAGAAAGTGCACTCCGTGGATAGCACGACTAGAGCTGCGATCTTCTACCACTGAGGTCTCAGACCACAAAACTCTGAATATTAAGGCTTCCAACTTCGATTAGTACTAGTAGAATTTCGCTCGTTGTAGTTGGTTGTGCTCCTGACCCTGAGAAATTTGCTAAGGGGAAAAAGCTGGTTGAGTGGTGAATGAAATTGATATTCATTTTCTAAGTTGATCATTTACAATGTTGTGATAATCGGAAACAGAGCTAGAGCTTCAGGAGGCGCAAAATTATATGCTGTACTACAACCCTGTTCGTGTTGGTGATAATTAGACAAAAAAACTCTAAGACAAGTAGAGTTTTAAGTCATTCTATCTGTCCCGCTCGACAGATGGTGGACACGCGTGCCTTCATTGACGCCGACGTGCGGACATTACGCGCCAAGTACTTCCCCACATGAAATCCCGGGTTTCGACGCGCTAGCAAGTGCACCTTCGTCGAATGAACCTCAGACCCAAGACGAGACACGAGCAAGAACTCCAGGAAAAGCAACAAGAAACCCTTGTTGTTGTCGAACTTCTTCGCTTTGCACACAACGAAGTAGACGATTGGGATCGTGCGTTGCTGCATCTTATATATATCATTTTTTACAATGAAGTAGAATTCATTGGATTCCTCCCATCTAGACCTACCCGAGTAACGAAAATTTCATGATCTATCATGACGCTGCATGTTGTCGCAAATGACGGGAAAATTTGGGGACTAGATCAGTCCAGCGTCTTTCCCTCTCGTGTTTGTCAATGAACTAACGCGAACTAACAGCCTTAGCGTGACCTGAGTAGTTTTCTTGCAGGCGCGTATTCGAAGGTGGGCGGGGGCTCATTCTTTTAATTCCGAGTATGATCACAATTTGATAGTCCCCCGGAGCTGTAGCATGTGGCTTCCGACTAAATTCACTTCTAGTTTGATGCCGTTGCAAGCTTGCTTGTTTGAGTCGTGACTATCATCCATTAGTACTACAAATTGAATGATTCTCATTCTTACCAACATTCGTTCCATCTCATTTGGTGTCAACATCTTTTTTACGTCCCTTAGCCGTTTTCGTCCTCGTGATGTCCGTCCAGTTTTATTGTTGTTCTGACCCTTTTAGTTTTACGGAGCATCAGGTGGAGTTCCTTGATGGAAGACTCCGCTTTTCAGAAGACTTCAATGAATTCATTCGAGCAATGTGGAGGTTATGCGATATGTTAGACTGTAAGAATTTTCAATGATTCCGATTCGTGTGTCTTGATCTTGCGCTGGAGTTATTACTTAAGTAGCTAGCATTTGTTTTTCTGCTCTCCTGGTGCTGGAGGTTGGTGTCTGATTCCTGAGGTACAAAAAGTGGACCAGTACATTTCCAAACGCGGTTTTGTCAGAGAGGAAAAGTTTGCCATAGTCGACTCGTGGCGGACAGTGCGGGAATGAAATACTGAAATAAGGGTGTGTTAATGATATCATTCGAGCAAAGATAACCAACGAGAACGAACTTACGCGATTCCGAATTCAGAGTATCATAACGTACTCTGCTTTTTCTTGTACCAGTGGCCCGCTCATTTTCTATTCTCTTTCACTGACTACAATGCAGCATTGCGGAATATTAGCTCCAAACCCAAAGGCGCGGCTTCAACCGCATCAGGTGGTATGATGAAAATGGCGCATAAGAAGCAAAAACTTGTATCATACACGAAAAACAAACAGGGTCATCATCTTTGTAGTTGAGCGGAACACTATCACTATGCATGGATGTATGATCTACGCCTTGGTTTGCAAGAACATGAACAAGAGGCATCGCGTGATAACGAATTATCAGAAAACTGAACTTCCGCGAAAGGTGATGACGAAACAACATCTGATCTTGATCAAAGTCCTCTTGTTCACTATCTAGCAATTATGATTTCTTTCGACGTCTATGTAATTAAAAGTGTTGTGGTCGTTGTCCACTGTTGATTTGATTAGTAAATTTTCATTTTTCAAGTGGAAGTGGTGTAACACACTTGTAATTAAACCTAATCCCCCCGCGTGTGTAGAACTAAGATCGTGTTGCTGTTGCACGCAGCGTGTGCGTTAAGAGGACATCAAACAAAATGTTCGGAGAATCATCTGCGAGCACTTCCTGCGCGCGGCGGGGCCAGCGCCCGGTGACTACACCTGGGGCATCTACTAGGTTTTGCCGGCTCAGTGACATTCAGGGGACCGGTGAAGTGGCGAGCAGAACTAACGGACGCTTTCTCTTAAGGCTTAGATATCTAAAAAAGTAATGTGGCGGACCTGTGGCACAGTAGAGAGTGCGACTCGCATAGCGGACCCGACGAAATAATAATCAAGGTCAACAAGGACTGACTGACGTTTTTTAGAGGAAGGCTGTCGGGAAATAAACGGGGCCAGTTCTTATATATTTATAGCTTTTAGGGCAGGCAGTAGAACCTGTGAGATGATTGGGAAGAGCGCTAATTCCTGTCGTCATGGTGACAGAGTATAACTCCCCTGGTATCTACTACGGAGATGGAAACGCGTCAGTCACCGTGCAAGTAGTGGATGAGACCCAAAACCGAACACCTGTGCGTGCGAAAACGGCAGATTATACACTAAAGATTTGCCTGCCGGTTTCCCAAAGTCTCTACAACAAGGCAAAATCGGAGAACAAGCGAAAAAACTCCAAGCGCACTCTATCGCGCTCCCGGCACACGATCGAGCGTTAAGCTTGGGCTCTTGAAAGCAGCTGCTCAAGTAAATGAAGAAGCTTTAGTTGTAGTTGCTGTAATAATTATTGCACTAGCCTGGCAAAGCCAAGCTGTCTTCAGATTCAGGAGGCGCTTGGTGCTGTCTCTTTCATTCTATGACTAAGTAGTAGGAAAAAACATGCACTGTAGAGATGGAAGTTCTAAGGCCGGCTGCCTCTTTTTAATGTCGGGCAGATCCTACTCGTGCGAGAAGCCTCGTCAATTTTCAAGCCCCCTCGGTGGTACACTATCACGGCATGGCTGCGTGACGTGGTAGTCCTCTCTGCTGCGGACCTATCGGCTCTGCTGACGGAGCCGGCAGATGAACAGAAAACCATAGTCGGCCACCATTGTCGTGCCGTAGATGTAGCTGGCAAGGCACCCGAGGATGAACCAGAACTAGTACCAGGACAGAATGACGCCGAGCACAACCACAACAAGGATGCGCATATGATTATGAAGGATGCTAACCTGGAGCCACGTGCTATCGGCGCTGAGAATCAACAAGCCGCAAGAAGTCTAAAAGTTGATGATATGGAAGGAATAGAGGAGCAGGAGCCCAGTAATCAAAGTAGAAGTACATCGAAAGTTGCTACACGACTGGTTCGACTTAGATTTGCTGGATCACACGATATAGATCCCCTGCCTGGTGCTGCAATCTCACCTCCAAATCGCTTTACATCATTTCGGCATCTGGCCTCGCTGTTGATCATATCCGGAGCACTCCTGCGCAAGAGAGAGCCGTCCTCGAGCTCGACTGAAAACGGAAAGGGTGCTGGCGCGTCTCGAGATGATGACGCCTCAAAAACCGCTTCATCTTCTGCGTTCGATCATGTAAAACTTCCATCCGCTTTATTTCCAGCGATGGCAGAAGTCGGTGGCGGTGGGTCTTCAAGTTCTTCATCTTCATCCAAGGAACATGAGCACAAGCCAACTGCTGTCTCCAGAATGAACGCAGAACTTCCATCATCAGGTCCTCCACCTTTGTCTTCTGACGTTTTGTCGAGTCTAACCCGAGAAGAACGCAATCGCATCGCAGCAATGGCAGCATACGCCAGATGCGTCATGTCTAATACTGAAGATGGAATGATCGCGTTGACTGGCCGCGTTGCAGAACTCAAGCGAGAAGGGGCAAAATCCTTTTTGCTTTCCCTCGTGAACCCGGACAGCCCGTTCTTGGCCTGCAGCAAATTTATCCCAGACACGTCGCTATATAAAATATTGGACCACAAAGACCTGGCATATCACTACAGAAAATTGCAGCAGGAAGAACTAAATTCAAATTTTGCGGAAAGGGCAAAAGTCATGGTTACGTCACAACACGAAAACAATTATGGACTTCGTTCTATTCTCATATGTTGCGTAACTAGGTTGAGGATGCTGGTAATACTGCTCCTGGTGTTCTCTTGGGACAGAGATACTTGATCAATAGCAAGGTGGTTAGAACATGGAAACTCCTCTTATCTCCGTCATTGGCATTGGCCATATCTCCTTTAACTTTGGGACTTTTTTCTGCGGAAGCATCTAGATCTGGAAAACTGCTCACTGAGCTCGATGGTTCGGGTAACTTTTAAAAACGGGTGTGGACCACGAGAATACTTTTCGACCGACGAAGGGAGCCGCCTTGAGGCATTGGCGCAGAACATAACAGGAGGAGACACTGAGTCTGCACTGTGGCCACCAGAGGAGCGTCGTAAGCATGGAAGGCAAAGTGAAGAAGCGAGCACGAGCAGAGAAGTGCTGGGCTTTCTCCAAGATCACAGTCAATTTGGTCTTGCTCGATTCTGGAGCTCCATCAACGTGTACGTGCTCAGTCGCAGTTATAGTCTGGCAGTTCGAAGGCGACAAAAAGAAAAAAGGTAAGGCTCAGCCTATCCGAAATCCGTATAATACTGACCTAGTTAGGACATCATGCTCATTCATCTTGCAGATCGTGTTAAGTGAATGAAAAAACAAGAGAGACGCATTCTCATACTATCGTATCCCCTTACGGTTGTAGGATTTGGGAAAGGTCTAACGCGAAGTCGTAGAAAAGTATCTGAAGCACAAGCAAGACGGGCGGGCTTCAGAAGGAGCGCACGGGATGAAGCAGAAGGCACTCTTCGCAGGATCAGGAGCGCAAAAGCGACGACGCGATTACAACAGCAGCGAACTGCAGCACGAAACAAGACAAGGAAAGATGGCGCGCGCGGTTGCCTCGGCTGGAGCAGCAGCAGTCAACCCGGATGCTCATGTTACTATGGAGGACGATGGACAGGGAGACTATGGTAAGAAAAGAATGACGCACGACGAAACGGGCTTGAATTTCAACAAGAACAGCGCGCGCGAAGTGGATATGGAAGCCCCAAACTACCCGAACAAAAACTCATCTTCGTCGGCGCATCTTCTGAGATATGGCATTACTCTGCGTTTTGCTGTCATGGCAAGCTGCCCCGAAAATTCTGCAGAGGCCTCAACGTCAGCAAGTAGCTTCACCCTGACCGTCGGAGAGGCAAAAACGTTCCTCGATCCTTTAAGTTCATGCCGTCTACTCGAGCGAAGACGCGCAGTACTTGGGTCTTTCGAAGGAAACGAAGCACCTCCAGAAGGTGTTAGCCTACAGCCAACCGGTCCACGAGCACGACAAATGGAACTTCCAGCAAGTCCCATCGTTTCACCTTCTAGGAGCGCTGGCCCTCGAGATGGTCGCTGTATTTCACCTTTTCGGAAAGCTCCTCCTGTAGATCTGACAAAACTTCTTTGCGTCCGCTACACCAAGTGCAAACTCGTGGCTTCTGGACTAGTCCATCAGCCAGATCGTCGGCCGCAATGGCTTGCCGTGTGGCAGCTTTCCGATGGAAGTGACAAGCTAATGGTGTACACAACGGCCCCAGACCGCATTCACGTGCTCGCCCCCGGAGATACGCGGACACTGAATAGGGACTCAGTCTTTCTGTTCCATTTTCACACTAATCCTCTCAGTGCAAGGGCCTCTTTTCTGTTATATGAGAAGCTCTGCGTCGAGTTCGGACTACGTCACCCCTAACTCCAAGTCGCACGATATATTAAGCACAACCTCTAATCTGGACGCCGTCCCTCCTGGGTTACCTCTGGACTTAGCCGAGCTTCTGGAGGACAAGCAACGCCTCTCGCGACCACGCCTACCTCTCCCATTTATGTTCCACGAATACCAATACCAAAGCAAGTTTTGACTTTATAGATTTGCATACTTTTGTCTTTGAAGTTCCAGGGGCCGAGGCCTAGTTTTACAATATGTTCAAGCACGACGCAACTCTTTTATTACCGGAAAAGTCTGTAGCTGTACTACTGATTCGACCTCCCATTATTTGAAGATACTCTAGTAAGTAATAATATGCTGCAAGAGCTGAGATGGAGTCGCGCATCGCTCCTTCGTGACATTTTTCGAACTAAGTACTCAAGCCTTAGAGTTAGAGAGAGACACTGTAGCGCCGTCTGAGCCGCGTGCTCTATTTAACTTCAATCCAGTGTTCGTAGTCCTCGTCTCTTCACATTATTAGCGACAAAAGCCTCGGTTTTGAATATTAACTTGCCACTTCATTTTTCAGTCATATAATAGGGTAGTTTATAATAGACGCTGGGCCCAGCGTAGCCCAGCGTCGCAGAGTCGAGAGGCTGGCATGTTCGCCAGTGATAGGGTCAACGGAATGGCGCGATTTTATGTTCTACGTATTGTTGACCAATTCTAGTCGTCACTTTCATGAAGGCAGGACCTGGAGTGGTGTGCATCGAGGAGAACGCATCGGTGTCGTGGCCCATAGGCAGCGCGAGGACGATTGAGGGATATCGCTTGAGCTCGTGGACACTGTGCGAAATCACAGTGCGTCGAATGACGGAGGTCAACGTTGAAGGCGATTCGACGTCTAACATCAACAAGGCATGACGAGGCTGAGCAATGATTATGATCTGCCGAACAGGTATAAAAAGCGTTTTGTGGAGGAAATTCCGCATGCCTTTGCACACGTAGCATCTCCATGAAAATATGGTGCACTTTCTTACTGAATGAACCCGAATCATTCTTGTCCCACATCTTTTCAGATGGAACATTTGGACGAGGCGCAAGAGATGAGATGGACATGATTAATGTACTAAAATTAGTATTTCCACGTCCCCGCGCTCGTCGTGTACGTGTTAGAGATGATGACATCTGGAGGAAGATGCGGGGCCTCGTCTCGGAAGGACCTATATAAAGTCCAACTCGGTGAAGAGGAAGCACATCCACAGGTGATATCGGGGATTGTGCTGGTTGAAGCCACATTTACTAGGTAAGTGATGAGGATTTACCGTATGAATTATGAGCGATGAGAAGATACAACAAGGCTGGCCCTCTTGTAGCGACCTTGAACCTGTGGCAGCGTCTCGCGTTGCTGTCATACCACTCAGAAAATGGCCCCTCACTCTCTACTCAGCTTGTCGCGACGCTACTGGTTTCCTCCACCCTCACGGTTTTGATTGTTTAACATAGCGAGCTTGTCAATTGAAGTGAGCCTTATTCCCGCTCTTTGGGGGAGTTGCTGCAGTAAGCTTTGTAAAACATCATGATCGTGGCCTGTTGGAAACCCAGCCCATCATCTTGAGAGTTTCCATTTCGCCTCATTGATAAGGTTGTTGAACTTGAACATTCTTGGCCAATCATGATAATTGCTGATGTGTCGAGACACCTACTAAATCTTAGGACGGCAAGACGGTGCCGCCAGTCGTTGCCCTTCAGCCGAGCTCCTCTCGCTATACCTCTATCTTATGGGGAGAGGGCGATTTCGTGTCTACAACGACTGGGAGTAAGTATTTGATAAATGGTTTTTCTGGAAAAAGTACAGCAACAGACTAGGCAGTTTAATAGACAAAGAACAGAAAAGCTTTGGATTGCGCGGTATGTTAATAGGTTTCTCGTATGCGTTGAAAAACATCACAACAGCAATAGGAGGCTTCAGTAGATAACTTTTACAAGATTTATTGCTAGTAAATTTTGACATTGTGAGGCAAATATCAATGCTGTCACCGCGAGGGAGTGACTTGCTACAGCGCTAGAAATGGTCACGAAGATGGTCATGATAGATTGATTTAATCGTAGAAATTGTGTCGAAGCTGCACGATGAAAATCATGAGGACGTATAACTTAGGCCCAAGCCCCGCAGCCTACTCCAATTCTCTGACGTTTGTTATTGGCTTCATTCGTTGCATAACGTAGCTCTTGTTCGTTGTCGTTGTTCCTTGTTTATAGATCGAGGTGGCCCGTCCCCTGCTCTTGGCGATATTTGTGGCGATCATCTTTCCAAGCGAGTGCTCGGATCTTCAGAAAATCTGCGTTAAATATCTCATTCCGGATTTGACACCTTGACCGCCGAGGCGCCGAAGTCAGCATCCTTTTCTTCGTATCTATGCCAGTGAATTAATGGGCACAAATACACGCAACGAAAATCGTGGTGATCGATCTTCAATTACTGCGCTTCGTTCTGTGCTTGATGGAAATAGAGCATGCTCGCTTGTGTCTCAGACGCAAGACTGTATTTGAGACTGGAGTTGAAGCTTCTATCTTGTGAAAAGACAGTAGTTAGTAGTCGGAGGCTGTGATCCCAGGATCGACGAAAAGGCTTAGAACACGCAAGAGGTTCAGCTTGCTGGCGAACTGCGCCTCGAGCGGGGTTCGTGTAGCATTTTACCGTCGCCTGATGAGTAGCTGCTTTCGCAGCTGCATTAGAACAAGAGCCGGGCCTTTTGTTTATTGTAAGTAGATGATTAAAGAAATTGAATGAGGCTGAGAACCCTAGATATGTCCAATACAACACTGATTATACGTGGTTCGTTTTTTTGTGTATCTTGGACTTCTGCTTGAGTTCCGTGCACAGACAGCCTGATCCCCAAAACCTCGGGAGAGGCAAGCTTGTCTGGAGCTGAGGAATTTTGACGGGCCCGCCTTGCTTGTTAGATCTTGATACAATTCCCTGTAAGAATGAAGAAGGAATGTAAGACAAAGAGTAGGAACGGCGGGCCGAGGTCGTTTGTAAATGTACAACAAAAGACGCCTCTACAACTTTCAGCAGCAGCAAGAAGAGGATCAGGAAATACCACACCACCCGCAAACGCAAAAGGCCCTTAGTTATTTCTTTGTTTTCTTTCCTTGCAAGAACAAGAAGCGCACTAGGCGACTATAGCTGATTAAGTTGTTGGGCTTTTTTCAATTCAGGACGGAGGGGCAGCAAGTAATCGCATTAATTGAAATGACCTCGCGCATTCATTGTCATCGAGTAACGAGTCGCCTGTCGAAGGACGCGTAGCCTAGTTTGTAAGTGAAGAGGGTGACAGGGAGGAGAGTCAGCCGATCCCGGTGCAGACGGTTCTGACGCAGCGAACAACAGATGAATAGCTGCAGACGAGAGACCTCAGGACAAGAACGATGGAACAAGATAGATATTCACACGCTGCTTGTTTGATTGGCAGAGTCGTGTATAAGTATAGAGAACGACGTGAGTAAGCGAATACACCGAAACCAGGAATCTAGTCAAAAGAAGACGTCGGTCTAGTGGTAGTGTAGCGTAGAGACTAGGAATTAGCGTAGCGCCACCAGCTCTAGGGCGTAGTTTGGTTTTTGGCTCCTCAGCCAAGTCTTCCTGGTAGGCCCACACCTAATCCTAACCTACCCTGAAGCGATCCTTGTCATCTAACCCACGACACAGGAGGCACAGCTACAGATCGGGGGATAGGAGTAAGCTGATTTAGAGTCTACTCCTCGATCTTCCTTAAGGCGAAGCTTAGTAGTCCTCTCTGACGCCGAACTGTGGCCGCGACTACCATAGAATCGCTTGCTTTCCAAAAAATATATCTACTCTATCTCCATGTTTAATTGTCTCGAATGGAAAGCGAGGCGCTACAGACTCGAACTCCTGTAATTCTTAATTGGAAGCAACATTCATTGCATTCTTTCACTAGCTAGAACCAAGCTACTTACAACTTTCATGATTCTTATCGAGTTTCACTGTGTCACTTTTGAGGATTTTTTGGATTTGAGGATGAGTCATTTGTTACGACTGTGGCTTCTACTTCTGCGCCATCTACTGCATCTGCGCAGGGTATTAGATATATAAGTAAGAAGAAGAACGTCGTGTATTATATTTTCTTCTCCAACGAGCTGCATGATCACTATCGCTCATCTGTAGTAGTAAATATTAAGTAGACAAAAAAAGACGCGAGTAAATGTAAATATCCGCTATGAGTGTGGTAAGAGCAAAAGCTTTGCTCTTTCAGCGTTGCAATTGCGCGGCGTCATAGTCCCTGTTACGAAGTGGAGGAAATCAGATTCGAGAAAGTGGAAGGGTCATTATCGACTCATATTTTTAGTGACAGACTCTTCGCAATGAATATGGTAAGAAGATAAACGAATGGCGTTAATGTTGATCGCGGTACCAGCCAAGCTTCTTCTTTATATATTTTGGCCAAGAAAGTGGACCGCAAGGATAAAAGAAAGAAAGGCAGAGCCTAGCACGGTGGCAGAATTATAATCCAGTATCAATGCCTGACTCAAGGACTACATCTCGAGGAAGCGTAGAGACTGTTGCTGTTCTCCGCCTCCTGTGGCGGCCTGCACTGAGTCGATTGCTTCTATGTATCAGTGTAACTAAGGCATTTCGTAGCAGACTTCTTGACCAGGGAGGGCGGCTTGGCAATGAGATGCGCGAGCTTGTGCATCTGCGTCACGCTATCAATTTCTGTAGGTGTTTAGAGCGAAGTGAGCTTGCTAAAAGAAGCGAATTGATGTCAGAGAGGGAGCAGAAAATAGAAGTGGCCACTACCTCGCGAGACTGTTGATCTTGAGAGACTACCTACCTCGAGCGCGAAGCTTTTGCCTTAGTTGACGCAGCAGCTTGCTCAAACTAAAATTAGACGTTAGGCTTGGCAGGCTCTTTTTACATTTACCCATGTTAGTTTCATCACATAAGGCGCCCACAGGTGCTCACTGACGTTTCAGCTGACGAAAGGCATGGGTGAGTCCGTAGGTTTTCCTCCACCTCTGCTGCATCACATGCGTCGCACTTGAAAAAATGTCTGGTTATTTATAGAGTGCGTGCAGAATAGATATTTGGGTGCTGGTTCTCCTCCATTCTGATCTGTTCGCTCTCTTGGAGAAAGCTTTGTGCCGGAATGCGCCATCACAGTCAGTCCTTCACTTGAAGGGAAAGCGTCAGCGTCAGGAGCACAAAAGCAAGACCGTACCCCACGACGATTGGGCACATTCATGCGCTCGGATGAACCCGAATGACGAGAATGTTGCGCTCAAGTGTGCGACGGAAATACTTGACTCAGTCTGCGGCTCCCCAGCGCGTGGGATGATGAGAGGTACTAGAAGAAGCACTCTCCCACTTCGTTGCTGATCTTCCCAGACGAGTAAAAGCAGGAAGGTAGTGGAAGTCGAGTAGGACGCCAGAGCTATCCTTCATAATTATCGTCTTTGAAGATGTGTCACTGACTCACGCTCTTCTTCTATGATGATAGATTACCCTTACAGTGTTGAGGATAATTGTTCACGAAAGCAAACTAACAAGGCATATACTTCAGTAGACAGACAGCGACTGCGTTTTCATTGCGACGTGGCTCTTCCTCTTTCAAAATCACCAGAAAAACCAGCGGGCGCCGGTGGTTACAGCAGCGGCATACAGGAACAGCAAGGGGGTGGAGACAATGCCTTCAGTCGTTACATGATCCCGAACCTTTTAGTCGATGATGACCTGCAGCTACCTTCTTTGTCATCAGACACCCACGCTGCCCAACACAAGAAGGCAACACTAGCATCCTCTTCATCTGGAAGCAGCCGCGTCGTGGCTGAAACCAACAGCCCTAGGCTAGGCCCAGGACAGGCAAATAGAAAAAATACCCCCGCGACGGGTCCAGTGCCAGAGCATGGTCATGGAGCAACGAACAAAGCGGCTTTGTCCAGTGGCCACGACAACTGCCAGAGCAGCCATGTCGCTGCTCCGGAAAAAAATCCGTCTCCTCACACCAGAGGGGGAAGCAGTTCGATGTCGCCTTGCAAAGGCAGCAGCGCGTCTTCAACCTTTCGAGTCGCTCAAAACTTTAAGGCCACGGCTGCGCTGATCTCTTAGTACAAGAGCCTTCATGTTGCGGGACCGGGTGAAAGTGTAGTGCATCATGCTGAACGTAGCGGGTGGATCCATATGGAGCGTCGCAACACTGGAAAAACGTCTGGATTTAATGCGCCAGAGTTTTTCTTGCTGTAGTCGCACTCTATCCAGATAAGAAAGTCCCCATATTCTTTCGGAAAAAGTTCCGTTCGGAGGTATAGCTGCATCATGCTGTCTTCTAATGCAGCCAGCCTCAATAATCTGGGGCCGGGGCGCAGTAGTGCGACGGCGTCGACTGTGAAACCGAACAACAGACTGCGCGTCTTATTAGAAGGCTTAGGCGATCCAGGCCGCCTGGGCGTCAAAGGCCTCCCACCATCGCAGCGATCACCTCGAGGACTCTTGATCAAAAGGCCAGAGAGGGTACGCAGATTCTTTAGCCTCAAGCTTAGCTATTTGATCTAGCGAAGGCTCATATTTAGAATCTGAGACCTCAGCCGCAGCTGTATCTTTAGGCTCAGACTTACAATCTACTACAAGTGCAACTAGTGCTGATCTTCATACTGATGCTACGATATTGATGTTATGACATCACGAGGCGAAGATGCACATCATGCGCAAGACCGTCTGTCTTTCTCTCTCTTGTTCGCCACACACAGTTGAACGCGAACCGCCATTCTTACTTCGTCCACAAAGGGCACAGCAGGCAGTGGGTCGAGCTTTGGCATCGCGAGTCCTCGCGTTGTTGCCAACTTCAAGCAGCATTAAAACAACAATCATCTACAGGTGGCATCTCCGGTTGACTCGCCCTTGCAGCGATTACCAGAGCACGTCGATGTTGACCCGATCGAAGAGGTTGGCGCCCCCCCAGCCCTCGGATGGGAGGAGCTGGAGGCCTTAGTTGATTAAGGAACGACTCAGCTGAGCACGAAAAAACTCAATACTCACATATCTGCCATGATGAAAATGAAAAGTCCTGAACTAGCTTTAATGTAAGGACGAAGTGCAGCGATTTAATGGGCGGTTTCTCCGCGCACAGCAGGACGAGACACGCGAAGGCACGAGTCTCCTCGCGAAGATTTTTAGTGGTGACAGAGCATACCTGACCACCGGCGTTCACGTTTATGTCTTGTGTGGATCAATTATTTTTGCACTTCTTGACCCAATCGTCTAAGTATATTGATCGCCCGAAATTTTTCACATCTAAGATTTAGTACATGAGTTTTGTTTTATTGATGCAGCTTTTCTTTGTTTTTTGTCTTGCCTAGAGCCCGTCTGGTAAAAAGCTCTAAAATTTATCCGCGCAGTCTTCCTCTCCCAGCAAAGCAAAGGTGGCACCAGTTCCGCCATTGGGCGAGCGCTTCCCGTTTCACACGACTTTCGGTGACTATATTTACTGTCTACCATCATAGTAGTTGCTATTACAGTTGTTACATCGAATCCTTCGCCTTATCTTTAGCTCAATCTGCCTTATCCTCTGTTTGTGATAAAAGGTTCGGCTTCTTTGTCGTGTTGACTTCTAATATTTTCAGATTTTTACTCACTTCGAATTTGATTATAATCAATACTAACTTCGTACAACTAGGCTATCGGCAACCGAACGAATGCGACCGCTTAGGACCTCCGCCAAGGTGCTCTAGGTCAGCAGGACGTCGAAGCTCGTTGCCAACTGCGGCAAAAAGTTCTGGTGGTTCCAGACGAAGGGGCTCCGTGTTGGGTGGTCAGGCTACGTATGATTTGAACGGTTTGCCCATGCGCCACCCTTTGTCCGCGCGTGGACACAAGGAGCTGCACACAACTGACTACGTGCGGAAAAACATCGTCGAGGCTGGCTTGGCAGGCGTGCGCCTTTCGGGAACGGAAAGGACAAAAAACGCAGTTGCGTCGAGCAACGTTGGCGACAATGGCACCTCCAAGAGGCGTGGTGGCACCGCTGGAAAACTACACGGTAGCACTGTCGCAGGAGGACAACAACTGGGAACGAATCCAACACCGATCACGTCTGCTCGCCTTGCAAATAGAGACCCGCGTCGCCCCGGCAGTTCCACGTCGGCGCCAGGTGCCGAAATTCTAGTCAATTTCGTGGCATACAGGGAAGAGCCACACCGCGACGAAGCCGCAAACTTGTTTTTCCAAGCGGTGGATAACAAGATCATTCAAGATTATGGCAGAGCAGAACTAACAGGTTAGTGGAGGAGCCCCCTTCTTAGAGCTGAATTTCGCAGCATTGTGGATTCCATCTTCTAGCGCTAACTATCACGATACCGCAAAGGCCTCAACGACGCACACTGCGACGCAAAAGACGAGGAGACGAGAGGCGCCTTAGCCCACGCACAGCAAGACTGGACAAAGAATTTCCTTGACAAGCTGTAATCTGCAGGAATGGGCGTGGCCACAACTATGCATCAGCGTGAGTATCTATCATTGAAAATCAGACGTAGCGCGGCAGCGCCCTTGCTTTTTATCATGCATTTTGATACTAGATAACTACCTGGCTGCGACTCTCTGTAGTATAAGACTAATCGCATGATCACCAGCAAAGAGTACTAGAAAGATCGCTTTTTACTTTTCATCTAAAGAAACAGAAGAGCCCATACATAAGTAATTAATATGCATACCAAATAAGCCTTCCCGAGCGCTATACTCCACAAAACTAAAAACTCGAACGTTAGAGTTATCTTCTACTATCTTATGTCTTGATACAGCACTAGTAGTGCAGGGCTGTGGCGCGACGGCCCACCTACTCGATGACGCTTGAGCTTGTTGAGTTTGTTGATTATGTTTACGCCTGTGCTGCGTGAAAATTCATTCATCTTGCCCCAGGATGAGCTTGCACAGTTGCATTCTGACTGCTTAGTAATGACATCAATTTCCTCAAGTAGATGAGCAACAAGTTCGAATGCCAGCCGAGCACAGTGGTACAGTTGCACTACAGCGGAGTATTTATCAATCTTACAACAGCTTCGCTTTCATAAAGATGCTTTTACTAATACGCAGAGACGCCAAGAATTCAGAGCTTCTTGCTTTTTTGTTGAAGATCTGGCGTGCGTTTTCTTATCGACGAAGCTTTCCCAAGGTAAAAGAAAAAAACCGTCATTCGAAAAAGTAAGTACTTGGAGTAGCTCCTATCCCCTGAAGGTCGTCCTTTGATGCTCAATTTCGCATGGGACAAGCAACGCCATCTGTGACTGGTGCACAGAACAACTCTACTTTTTCGCTATGAGGAAGAAAAAGACAGAAGCACCCTCGTTGTAAGCAAACCCAAACGGCGGTCTGCTAACAAGCGGATGCCGTGGCTGTTTTCGCACTTACGTCGACCAAGTTGGAAACATGTGACGAAGAAAAACAGTCAGCGAGTACCAGCATCATCAAGCACAAGCTCCACCTCAGAAAAATTATGGGCTTACAGTTTTGCCACAGTGCGACACTCGTGGAAAGGATCACTAAGGGCAAAAATCAGAATGACAAATGAAATTGATACATACCAAAAGAATGCTATGACAACTATGAAGAGGCTTCATATGAATCGCTGAGGTAGTTAGGAGGGATCGCCATTGGCCTGGCCGGGCAGTTATTGTGGGAGCTGACCTCGTGTCGGCTGCCATTTTAGTCTCTACGGCGATCACGAAGGGTCAGATCAGAGGCACGCGCATGACTATGAGGAGGTCTAGCACCACCTTGGATCGACTTCATCACTGACCTCTTCTCACGGGCGTTATCCTTCGATCATCAACCTCCTGGCATCACGTCGCAGCGGTAACTTACACAGAAAAAACGATCAGTAGGAGCTATCTAATTTTTCAAGCAGGAAAACAAGGCCCAATGCATCATTTGACGACCGGCAGTGAGAATAGTAATAAGGTAACCAATTGCTGAGTGAGCGCGAAGTAGATAGTTGCCTTCATTTGAGTAACTTAAAAGTTAAAGATTCCTTGGCCGTGTCCTTGACTGACGTTTTTTAGTGATGACTGAAGATTAGGCATCCAGTCGCTGTAGTGCAAAATGATGAATGTGATAGCGTTTCCCGCTGAAGGGATGTCATGCGCTGACGGCAGTGCAGTTGAGTCAAGCCTTCGGGGAATGGCGTGGGGAGGCGTCTTCTCTTCTCTATTTTGTGGACCCAGAGACCGCGCTTATCTCCTGCTAGAAAACGCCCCGCATCTTAGAGACGCTTCCTCGTCACCAGCGTGGTCAAATGTCGCCGCGAAAGGAAAAGATACAGAGCGCGCGACCACTAGAACGATGACGAACAACGTGACAACGGACCAGCAAGCGAAACGAGGTGGCGTCACCTCCGTAAGTAGACGCTTTCCTGACTCATTCGCGCCGACTCCATCATCAGCTACTTCGCTATCGAGACTCCGCACTGCAGCGCTTAGCGTGACCCGTGTGGGGCGGCATTCAGTTCTTTGCGGGTTCTGGGCATTTGTGACGTCCTTCAGCCTGTGCACGATGGAGCGCGAGTGGTCTGAGCTACCGCGGCCCTACTACTCGCTGGTAGCCGGTGGCTTTTCAGGCGCACTCACGGGCATGGCGAGACTGGCTTCACCCTTGAGCGTAATAGGCCATGCCGCAGGAAGCGCAGCCTTCGTAACGGCTGCGACACAAGATGCATCTGTAGCAGAATTCATGTTGGAGCACATCGTTACGGGGGACGACTCTCCTCGAGGAATAATAACAAACGAAGGCGACAGTGAAGCAATATCAAGATATCACGACGCAAGACAAACTCCGAGAGATCTCCATGAAAAATTTTAAAGGACATACATTTCGGATTCTTGTGGAAGCACTTTGTTTGGGAACAAGTGTCAACACAGGTGGTGGAGGCATTTTCCCTCTTCGGGGTCTCTCGGTAGCGAAGACTATGAAGTAACCCGGATGAAAAAGGTAAGAACTCCAGCTGTTGCTGACTTGACAAGGCCAACCAGAGTGAGAGGCGCAAGTCCTTAGAGGGATGACGAGCGATTATGGGAGCGCCACTATGAGGTTGCTCAAGGTATTTCTACGGCAATGCTTTCAAGTAAGCAAGTAGAAAAAAGTAGGTGTAGGGGGAGTCGAGGAACGATAAGCTTTTCTGAGTCTTGTACTTGCGTCGAGACTTTTCTATGTTCGTTGACCGTGACCGAATGAATATGACGCAAAGAGCACTCGTCTCCTCGATAGCGGTGCGCCGCAGTCTGTGCGCGTTCGTAATGCTGCCATTTATGCACACTCTTCGCAGCTTTCTATTCAGCGTGACCCTTTGCAGCTCGTTGGTCTCCGCACAACTGCCGAGCGTAGATGAGATTCCGAAAGATCACCGCTGGGAGTGTTTCGACCAATACATGGAAGCGGAAAGCGGTTGGTCGGTATCCCGCTGCTGCTACGGACAAGAAGATGCGTTGCAGCATTGTTTTCAGGACCAACCGCATTGGCGTGATTTCTGCTGTGCTCCGCCGAAAGTCACGCTCACAGGTAAGGCAGTCCAAGTGCTCTAAGTCTAATATCTCCTAGCCTGGAATCTTTCACAGAGACAGAGATGACGCATCAAACAGATGGCAGGAACTTTCATGATTTTTTCTATTTTGTGTTGTTGCTTTTACTTTACATATTGCTAGATTGTGCTCAGCTCTAACGTCAACTCTTTCTCTTCGTGATGCATTGACTACATTGCTCACCGATCTTTTGTCCAAGAACACAGAGCGACTTCGAAAGGAGCGCCCCGTCCTTGGTTGGGCACTGGAGCAGACACCCATGGCCCTTCTCACGCGCGCAGAGGGACTGCGAAACATGATGCTTCAGGCACTCGAAGTTCTGTCCACCATCGTTCCCTTCTTCGAATTTGACGTTGTCCACGAAGATACCTTCGAAATATTCGCTGAAGCCGATACGCAAATGACCGCCAGGGAGAGCAACTCCACCTATCACACAACTCAAGCTGCAGCACTTGGTGGCGCATCTACATTACACAACTTAGATGGCGGAAAGAGGCAACAACATCGAGAAGCACAGAAAGAAAGCTCCGTGGAAAAGCCAGAAGATGCAGCTGAGGGGGCGAAGGATCCTGAATCAAACCGTTACTCACTTGCGAGGTCCTATCCGTACACGAATATACATGCCATGTCTGCGCGGACGAATTTTACATGGATCGCCAAAGAGAGCCCATTTCTACGCTTCGAGAATAATATATCCTAACTCATGACCGCTGCTGCGGAGGCGAAATCGAAAGTGAATTATATTGCGTTTTGGTAAAAACATTGTTGATCTTGATGGTGTTGATCTGCCAACGACATTGAGCTTGTTGTAAATAATCGTAAGCAGTACGTAGATGTAGAATAAGTCCTGTAAATATTCTTCTAATTCTGGCCTCACTTTTTCGAAAAGGGAGCTCGGAAATGGTCGCAGACAATGCTGCCTTTGCGCCGTTCGATAGCTGTTCTTGCGTCGGCAAAGGATACGACTACTTCATGGCCATCATGCAGATTCTGAAAGGCTTCGACTTTCGCAGCAAGTTTGGCCTGCGAAAACAATTATCGGATGCGGAGCGCTCGTGGCACTTTCAGCACTTGAAGACGCAGGGCTGCGCGAACTTCGATTTTATGAACATGGTGAGAGACCAGATCTTCTACACCGACTACTTCCACACGTTTAGGTGCGCTCCAGGTGAAATGGGCGTCAATCTGATGAGCGCGCTTTCGTGCATCCTGGAAGAAAAATACACCTACGCGATGGAGTTTTTGCATCTCAATGTTAAGACGATAACGGACAAAATTTCACGTTTGTCCTATGATTCAGCAACCTGGACAGCCATAACTACTTTCAGGCATTTTTTTGCACAGACTCACTGTCACTGCGCCGTCCTCGACAGGAAACAAGTTGTGCTTTAGACGATTCTCTCTCATTAAGGGCACCAGAAAAGTGAAAATATGCTAGACCTATGTATTAGTTTTTCGAAAACGAAGACTAAAGATTATGAGACAAACATATTACCGACAAGACGAAGGACAGCGTCAAGGTGTTCCTCCTCTAAAAGTATGATGATCTCGGTTGCGTATCAGTGTGACCTAGCCGACTGGCCTTTCACGCACTTGACGAACGTGGAACTGTTGAGAAATCTTTACGTGATGGCAAGCGTGGAGCAGAGAGAGGGGCTGCCAGTCGCGAATGCGACCTACCGCGACGCGCTTGTTCTCCACGGACAGAGCTCCCTGAAGCACGATCTTGCACCCAACGGGCGACACGGGAGAGATGGCGATGAAGTAGGAAAAGAGCAAATCAGGCAGCGCAAGATGGCAGAAGCGCAGGCGCTTAGGTTTAGAAGGAATTCCCGACCGTCACCATTCTTTCGCCAAAGTGGAGACGTAAAGAACGCACCTAAGTTGACTCTTCAGCAGAGCTTGCTACCGCCGTCGGCTAAGGCGCCGGCTTTTGGAGATTTAGAGCCACACAATCCGTATTTTTTCGCATTCAACCGCATGTTCCGCGATACTGTAGGAGAAGTCGTTTCCGCTGCGTCCCCTTCTGATTCTTCGACAGTCGCTGCGCCGGCGCCTACGTCTCTCAGGGCGTTGGAGCTGCGTTCAATGTCCCGCAGTGTCTCTTTTCTGAGCGATTTTTTTCCTTCTCCGATCGACCGGATTCGAACCGGTTGCCGTGTTCACGCTGTTCCACAGTCGACGCCCTTCTGTGTTCGCAATAACACTGTGCTAGACCGAAGGGGTCTGCATTCAGTTTTCTACGGATCGGGAGTGGCCACCTCGGGCACGAATGAGGACGGCGTGGAGCTTTTTTATGGCTTAGCTTTATCCTGGAAACAGCTCAACTCGTGTTTGTGGAATTTAGATCGTATCTATTAGTTTATAGAGACTACAAAGGAACGCCTGACGTGCGAGAACGGCAAGGGCTGCATCAAAAGCCACACGCTCCCCGAGCGATTTCCCGCTAACGCTTGGCGCTTGATAGCAGCCGGTACCCAAATCAGAAGGGCGACTCCTTGCTCGCATTGGACGAAGACCCAGCAAAAGGCATCGCTGTAGCAGAGACCGTGCTTGCTGCGCATCCAGGCCAAGGCTCGGTTGTCCGATACGGGGAAGCGGCCCGGCCTGAGGACGATGCGGAAGCTGCCAGCAATGAAACCCAGGCGATTGATAATGCTATGGCTGTGGGTACTGGAGACGCACGACAGCAAGTGGGAAGTCTGGAAACGGACGCAGAGAAAAAAGGTGCCGAACTAGTTACGAATGGTCGTCGCCCTACTTTTCTCATCCTTGTGCTGAGTGCCCACCGTTAAATATATAAATTAATCGTTCCGCGTAAACAATGACAAGGAGAAAGAGAAAGAATTGTATGCGACTTTGTATATTAAGATACTTCGCGTGAGCGTAACTGACTATACGCATGAGGAGCTCTTTGTCCTGGCAGGACAAGGTGAAGAGTATTAAGGACACTACTTCATGATGTGTGGAACTAGTGCAGAGGTGCCTGTAAAATCAGACGACAAGTACCAAGCGCAGGATCGTGCCTGGGGAAACCACGCGCATGGCTTATTTCTACGACACGCTGTACGGCGGCAACTAAAGGTCGCGAATCTCTGTAATGAGTGGGGCCGTCACACTCTGTGGGCAAACACGAGAAACCTTTACCACCGGCACTTGGACGAAGCAGACGCTGTGGCTCCTTCCCACGATGCTGAGTCTGTCCTGCACGGCAATACTCTCAACTATCCGTCTGGTGATAATATCAATTCAAGTGATTATAGCGGAGGCGGCGGCCATGGCGGGAGCGATAAGTTACAGACACCGCCGGCTGTGGTTTCTGGCACGAGTGAATCCGTGACACTTGGGCAGACTCTGAACTTTGCGCCCGATAGAGACTCAGACCGCGACAGCCTCTTAAACTCTGATCTCGATCGGCTAAAAGCAAGGCTTCGAGTCAAAATGCAACAGCTGAAAGGAGACTTCCACCAGACCCGAGCCGCGGGCACGGATTATACCAAGAGCGAAAGTGATCGCAAAGATCCAGCAAATACGAACATCAGCGACAAGTCGGCTGGCAGCGGCAGCGCTGATGCGCAGTTTCTAGATGAAGACTCATCCGGCGCCAGTAAGAAAGCCCTACACCAGCAAGGAGTGTCTTTCGCTTCCTTTCTTCTCTCTCCGTCAAAAGATCACGCAACGCAGGTCCGGACCTTGAGAGATCTCACCTGGGTCGTCACAGCCACGATGTCAGAGGTGAACATGTCGCATTTTCTACTGTTTTTCCTGCAAATCCTTTCTGATGCACCGACTCGAATCGGATATGAAAAGTTGGAGCATCTCTTCGTATGGATTTCAGGAGGCACGTCGGATGGCTGTTTCGCGGGGCCAGAAAAGCCCGTTTGGAACCGGTGGCGGGCCGAGTACTACGATTTCCTTTTATGCACTGGTAGACCTAGACTCTCCCGATATTCCTACTTATATTCATAGAAATTTATACTACTACTTAGTACTATTTAGACTCATTCCCATGATTCTTATTAAGTTTTCCAAAGCTACAACAAGGAAAGAGTCTTGCTTCGGAAGTTTCCTCACATGGTAAAACTGACTCCGAAGATATTTTCCACAACGGCGTGATTAAGTGCCTCCCTGATGATCAATTGTCGAGGGGCTGCTCTGCTCCAATCTAGCAGCTGATTGCAGAGAACGTCGTCCTTCTCTACAGTTTCGACCAGGTGGCAGTGTTTCAGAGCCCGTGCAACGAGCAGGCGAAGGTCGCGCGGAAAGTGCTGGTGGAGCGCGTACCGACTGACGAGTGGGATTGGCGAGAAGCAAACTGGGTCCGTGTCATGCTCCGCGACCTCATCAGCCGGTCTCCAGAAAGCTTGGTGCTGTCTACCTTCGCAAGTGCGTCCGCGAGCCAGAAAACCACGTCTGGAGAACATCCAAGTCCTATCGTATTACCTACTTCTTCTAGTGGTCGCGCTGGAGGGGGTGGCGGAGGCGGTGCTAGTACGCCTCGGTCGCCAGGTCGTAGCGGGGGTGCCCCTATCACAGAAGCTTTTTTAGAACGCTTGCTGGAGACCGACAGTAAGCTTTTCGGAGTTCTTTTGCATGGTTCATTCAGCGCAGTAAGTGGTCTCAAAAGTGATATGAATGCTCCTGTGACTAGTGACATCAACAGAGGAGGCGAGCAAGGACATCTTCAGAGGCACCTGATTCAGAACGATGTGCCTGATCCGCGCTTCACAGGCTGTTTCAAGCAGGCGTTTATCGGGCAGCACGAAAAGATCCGTGTCCACAGCCTACAACATGAACAACGATCGAAGCTCCAGGTCGCCACCTCTCGCCTCGTCATAGCTTCAAATCTTCGCTCGCAAAGCCACACTTCTGCTTCGCGTGAAGCTAGAATATACGAGCGATCGAAGAGTTCTGTTAGTGATGTCGGAATGGAGGATGAAAACGAGATTAGAAACGGCGCCGAACAAAAGAAGGGTCTTGAAGGTAAACGTGTGGAAATGAATAGATATCGAACAGGAACGAAGCCCGCGCCCGCTCTTGCAACCATTCTGAGCACAACATAGAACACAGAGAGCAGGGTCCTGCTCACTGACCCAGCTTTTGAAGAGCGGGCGCCTCTATCCCTAGAAAATGAGCTTGCCGAGCTCGGCGTCGAGCCGCTGCTGTACGGAACCAGGCCAGGCCTCTTTGTGGCGGGACCTGGTACGCAGTATCGACGGCGCCTGATTTTCTTTGCACTCCAGCGGAAACAGGTTAGCAGCGGCTGGACGATAGAAAAAGACGAGCGGAACTTTGATCGTGATGAATTTTTGAGAGATTTCGCGTCCTTACGTAGCGCAACAAAAGACTTCGCAGTCGGGGTTTACGGGCATTTCGAGGAACGCAGTCTCCAGGAACAGCTTGCCGTTGTTCAGCATTCCAGCTTCTTCATGGGTTCCCATGGAGCCGGGCTTGCCTGGATGGCTTTCATGTCCAAAGACCATTCAGCGGTCATTGCTAAGGCCACGTGTGCGAAAACTTTCATTTTTGTAGCAGGCACTTGTGCTAGTTCTAGTTGAATACATTGCTTAGCAGAGAGCTTAGAACTTCAAGCTCAACTAGATTCGCGGCTGCGTCGTTGCATTGAGTTCTAACTATTTTTCTCATGTCGACTTTCGTAGGATGAGACGTTCGATGCCATTGCGTCCTTTGATGACGTTGCGTGTCATATTAGATAGAAATATGAGTCCGTGTGTTGATGTGGTGACTGTCTTTGCCATTGGGGCCTCACATGCGAGCAAATCCTTGCTCATGTAAATGCCAATGCCAGAAGTGAATTGTCATTGTGCCTCAGCAGAGAGCTGGACATTAATACTCCAATCCCAGTCTTCATATGTGAGATCCTTCCGCAGCAACCCGTCGTCTCAGTCCAAGGATTATGCCAACGGCAAAATTTCTGGGATAAGAATCGCCTGGCAATTTATGGAGGTCTTGCGCGCATTGCAGGTGTACGGCACTACTGTCAGCATTCGTTTTTTCCAGCCAAAGCCGCTACGAACGCAATTATGGCCATGATATGTGTACTAAATTATTAAGTAGTCCGTGGTAGCAGTAGCTAGATGAAGTTTAAGCCTCTGGATCATGTGACTCTGCAGGGACAGAGCACGCTCCTCATATGAAGGATTGATCTTTTACAATGAATATGCAAAACTTGATCTTGAAGTTGAGCTTGAATAAACGTCCAATCGTTTAGTGCTTTCTCTCATAGGATGAACCTCCCCCAGCATCCCCGTCTCAGTGTTGCTCTATATCCTTCATAGTGATAGTACGAGAAATCCATCGCCATATGTTGTAACGCGGGGGTCGTAGTGTACGCGTGGCAACTTCTGAGAGGTAAACAAATGTTCCTGACCTTGACCACGTTGCTTTCTACGAGAAATTGTAGGCTTCTAAGATAAAGCGAGGAGCCGAAGGCGAAGCTGGTTCCTCGTCAGAGTACTCATTAGCGGAGATCACGGCAAACTTCGGACTCGTGCGGAAGGGAAAGGTGAAGCTAGATCCAGGCGCGATAGCAAAAGCGGTGAAAACGAGCCCCATCATCATGTGACGCAACATCAACTTCATTTGCGGGAAAACTAATAGCCTTGAAATGGACAAAGAGCCTGTGCCTGTGGCAGTGCTGTGGAAAGAACTCCAATAGAATAACATCCGAAGCGTGGCGGTGCTTGTTTTTTCGTGAACCCTTGCATTAGTCGCCAGGCTTGTGTCCTTCGTAGCCGAAGAAGATCTAGCTCTAGCACAGCGGCACAACGTCATGAAGCAGCATTTGCACACGCCACTGCTTGCGATATTCATTCTATCAATCTATCACAAGGAGGAACCTGCTCACCAGAGGAACTCGTAGGTTCTGTCCTGATGCTCATAGCTAAAATTGTCCTGGGAATTCAATCAAGCGCGGCCCCTCCTTGTTTTTTGAACTTCCGCATGCGCATCGAGCACGTGCAAAATTCACTTTCTGGCGCAGACTCATAAGTACTCCCCACGCTGTGATAATCAATGAATATGGTTTGAAAGGGATCATTTGCGGCTTCTGCATGCCTTCGGTGATTTCGCGTGTTGTTGAATCCTCTCTCTGTCACTCGTCTGCTCGTGACAACAAATGAGTTTGGTTGTGTGCAGATCTCTGTCAGGGAAGTTGTCATGCGTTTCAATTGTTGGCGAATTCTCGACTGGTGAGAGTCTGCGTTATTGCGCTGAAAGAGTCGAGGGGTGAAATGGCAGAGATCCAAAATGAGACGCAAAGTCTAGGCGCCCAAAGGAGTTGAAAAATAATGGGCGCCAGACCTATACCGCGACATTTATCTCATAGAGAATTTATCATCGACTCATCCAGACAATGAATTACGGGGCAGCGTGCTGGGTGTAATCTACAGGACTGAAACCAAAGGCAAATTGTACAGGAGTAAAAAATGGAATGAAAAGCAGGCACTTCGCGACGTGCTGCCAATCTTCTTGTAATGTCTAGTCCAGTATGGATGAGGTTACCTCATTGATGCTCAGCTTATCAATGCGATGAAATGAGAAAGTCTACCACTCATCTTGTTAAGTAAATGAAAGTATGGCGCCGTCGTGCTGTGCAGCACATCGACATCGGCGCTGCCACCCCGGGCCTACCGCTATTTCCGCACATAAGCAGCTTGCGTCTGAGCCTGGCCGCTAGGGTTTCGAAAGCGCATTAACGACTCCGAGAACCGCAGGAGCCTACAGATACCAGAAGTGTCTATAATAGCCGGGTAGCTGCGAGATGGGTCGCGATGACGCCGGCCAACGACACAGATGTCGCACGTCGCATCGACGTGCCATGCTCCAGCAGAGGGCACTAGACGTCGCCGAGAACCTGTGGCGGCAAAAAGTTCTTATGAAATGAGACCTAGAATTTATTTGAACAAGGTGGGACTGGGAGATGACTAACTTCGTTGGGGTGGCTTTGCTTGACAGCGGCCATCAAAGTATGTACAACCATCACTAGCACAGCAGGACAGCAAGGCCACAATCAGACTAGATGGGGTCGCTTCCTTAGCCTCATGTGGCGCCACATTCTGGCTTTGTCTTCCACTTTAATCAGTACATACTTATTTATTAGAGGTGTCACTGTCTGCGTCTCAGTCTCAGAATAGATATACAATATATCGTGGCCCAACGACACTCCATAGATAGGCGGGGCGCTAGTTCGTGACACGAGACAACGCATATACCACATTCTATTCTTCAAAGGTTCAAATCGCTCCCGTTCCTCGCAGTTTAGCATCTTGCTATCAAAATTTCTCATGTAGCGCTTCTGTGTAGGGTTGTAGTGATACGCATAATCGATCATGATCTATGGTTTATGATATCATGATCAGCGACACGAGGACGCAGAAGCGCTAACTCTTAGGGATGCCTGTACGCGTCGATGGTCGTTCTTATGCACGTGGTGCAAGGCGTAAATGCGTACCGCGCGGCAGCGGCTGGCGGAGGTCCTCTTAAGGCCACGCGCGAGTTACTCATAGTCATAATTATCTCGTGGTCATGCAGAACCAGGCACGAGAACAGACTAAGGAAGTCAGGGTGAACAACTGCTGCACCGGATGACATCAGGTCTGGCGTTCTCTATCCGTATTCACTTACTGCGCGTCTTCTTTCTTTGTAGCCCCCTAGCCAGATTCGACCCCCCTTGTTGTACTCGATCTTGCGCTTGGTTTTGAATGAGGCCACACATTGTGCATGTGGCCGCCTTGTTGTCTATCAGCGCCTACTTCTCGTGTTACATCCTGTTCGCACACATCTTGCCGCAGGTACTCCTCGTCTTCGCCAACATGGTCCTCAGGAACAAGATGTATCAGCTCCCCTCGCTAGTGACGGCCGAATACGTCCAAGGAGAGGGCAAATAGTGGGTCCTTTTGCTAGCCGCGCCCTCCGCTCCGACTGTGTTGTCGAAGAGATCCGAACTTCATGATCTCTCGTGACGTCGGTGCGCATGGCGTCCCTGATGTGATCGAGATCCCTGAAACTGAAACCGACCATGAAGTTCTGGAGAGCTAGAGTAATTAGCTGCTCTCCTCTGGCTCTATAATCATGTACAGCGTTTCTAGTGCTAGTGCGCCTACTGGGGTGCTCGTCCTCCTAGTAAAGCCTCTGACTGCAAAGGCACCACAGTACTTATTTAGTTCTTGCGTGGCTTTAACATCCACATCGATCCTGGCGGCTCAAGCGAAGGGGAGGACGCGGACGACGAATTTGGTCCGCATGTTGAACAGGACTTGCGCGCGGACGATCTGAATGAGCGGCCGCATGTCTTTAGAAGTATGAACATGGCAACGCCAACGCCTCCTACGGGAGCAGCAAGCGCGGCCTCGGCTTATATGGGGCCGCCGATACAGTCTGACTATCCACAAAACGACATGCCGCATGCCTGGGACTCACACATGAGCGCCCACCTCGCAGACCTCGCGGTAGAGCAAGAGCGTCAGCCTCAGCTTTATCACACAACTGGCAAACCTTATTGGACGCGGCATCCGCTTGCTGACGTAGAGGATATCATCGTAGCGAATAGAACTGACAGATACCTGACCAATTTGCTGAACGCGACAGCGATCCTCATATACTTACGGTCGACGAAAATAGTGCTAAAGAAGCGCCTTCCCATCACTTAATCATTAATTTTTCTTGTTATTCGTGCGTCTTCTTGTTATTCAGGTGTGCGCTTATCTTCACCAGGATCTTCATACTAGAGGGGGAGACTCATTCTGTGAGCACAGTAGCTTGCTCAGTTTGCTTATCGAACCTTTTAATGCGCGTTGCCCTGACGAGTTTAGATGCTAATATTGTCCCCCGTCTCTAATTCCGCGAGACCTGAGCTTTCGCCGTGAGTTAGTGCATCTCTTACGAGCGTACCAGGGTTACGCGCTGGTGGGCGACTCCTGGGCGACAACGCTGGGCGCGGACAGGTTAGGCGTGCTGCATGATCCCAAACGGCCACGCACATTTGGGACGCCAAGTAGTGGCGAAAAGACAGCGGAAACGCGAGAGAGCGCAGGCTTAGCAACTTCTCACGCAGCATCGCAGCACCCTCCAGAGCAAGGCACAAGACAAAGCATGCGGAGGCTCCAAGGCGGCCGCGTCGGTGCGGACGAAACAGAAGAATCGACATCCCACTCTGTCAGCGTCGACGCGTCTGGGAATCCCGTGGATATTCTTGAGGAATCCTGGGTCGTCACGACTGGTAGTTCCTTTCTCGACGATACTGGCGGGAGGGTGTCATCATCAGCGGAAAGCTCAGCTTCAGTCGCGAGGGGCGAAAAAAAAGCGGGGTTGCAAAGCACGACCATAGCCGCAGCGCATGAAGGACTAAGCGATGACGACGCAGCACCTTCACCCACAGGAGATGAGGCATTCCTTCAGATAGTAGTGAATGAGAACAAAGTTGTAATAGAAGAGCAGGTGGAGCAAGAACGCATGTCAGAGAAGACAGGTGCAGCACTAGGAGGAAGTGGAAGCCTCACCTCAAAAATACTCCGCGCGACATCAAGTAGGTCAGCAGCATTTGGACGAGGACCCCCCCGCGTAGCCCCGGCGGTACAAGGACTTTTGCCAGTGAGTCCACCAACTGCTGCGTTTTCTTTCTCCCCAGCAAGCAGACCATCGACATCTGCACCAGCGCGAGCACTTTTTTCTGTCTTTGCCTCTCGACCTAGGACTTTCACTGAGCAGGATGCCCATGCCAGTGCCACCGCGGAAGAGTTCTTAGCGAAGCTTCGTTCCCCGCCTCCGCCAGAAGATAAAAGCATTGCGCAAATGTTTGAGTACTATGCCAAGTTTGTGCCTCGGCCAACGGGCAGCGCAGCGCATGCGTATACGGGCTTCACGAACAAGTATCTCAGCCGAATTTGGACATTGGACCAAATAACTCGGCGTCTGTACCCGATCGCCCGCGACGGTGTCCTCCTTATTTTTCCGGAACCACCGCCGCCTCACGTCGAAAACCCTCTTGAGATGCCGAAGGTCATCGCCGGGGACGTAGAAGCATTACATCCGAGGCTAAGAGACGTGGCCCCCACCCCTGTGCAGGACTGGCATGCCGAGGCTACGGCGCTTCTAGACAACGTAGTAAACTACTTCCATAACAACGAGGAGGCTCCCACGGTGCGAAAAGGCATCGAGGCCTTCGTAAAGAAGATGCGGGAAGCCGTCGGCACTCTCAGAGGAGAAGTAGCGGATCCTGCATCTACTGCAGGCACTGTTGGGTACGAACCTCACGTCAAAGATTTTTTCTACTTTATCCATAGTGTTCGTCTTCTTTGATCCAGGGCGAGGCGCTTTTGGCTTCTAGGTTAACTCTGCTAGCTTTGTAAACTACCCTGGGTAAGAGGCATTATTTCTTTCTCTCAGTGTGCATCAACATGAGGATCCAACTTGATGCTCATGCTCTTGCATCTGTGCAAGTGCATTCCGGTGCAGCTATAGCTACGCCAATCCTCTCAAATCATAGACATGCCTTGAGTCCAAACTCATAAGCAAACACGCGCAGTGAGTAAGAGAAGCGGCGCGGAAACGTTCCGGCTGGGAGAAACCTCTAATGAAATAGACACGGTAGCGCGGATAATGTGGATCCACTGGTCAATCTCATACAAAGCATTTTGTGCCTGAATTCGGACGGCGAAATAGGCGCTGGCGGTGGGGCAGTGGACAACGCCCAGCAGACTTTATGAATGGACCCGCTTGAGCCCAATTTATCTTGTAGTGCCGCTTTGGCGCGGTTGTAGTAATCGTTGAGCCTACTACTTTCGTGCGGAAGCTTAGGTCCACAGGTAGGTAGGCTATCATGGTATATGCTGCAGCATGTTCTTTCTTTCAACATGGAAGCACTTTACTTTTACTAGCAAATTTGCACGCTATTTAAATGTTCGAGCTTGTGCAAGGCACGCAATTGATTTCAGCATCGCAGATGAAATTAAGCGTGCCTCTAAGGACCATGTACAAGTTTGGCATAAAATGCTGGGCGCTGGTCGGCTTCGGTGGGTCCTTCACATATTCACAATTGCGAGCCGACACGCAGGACGCCGAGACTCAGGAGCAGCAGGCAGAGTCGAGCTCCGCGGGCGGTAGTCATAGTGACGAAGGGAGGAATCAGCTACAATACTCACTGCTGAAGCGGTCTGCTGCCTCGCCGTCGAGCTACGCAACGTACGGGGCCATTGCACGCATAGCGTTATGACTCGCGCTAGGAAGTCGATGAGTGCTGTCGCAGTTGTAAGTTGGTGAATAGAAGTGTCACCGTGAATCAATTACCCCTCTGCGACGGAATCTTGCTCGTTGCAAAAGAAGCCTAGTAGACTTTACGCCCCGTCCCCATTTTCGAAGCCGTTTCTCGATACACTTCCTTGATCTCACGGTACGCGATGTCATCAGAATAAGGTGCTGGGCTCAGATTTGCACAGATTCGCATGAGTGTCAAAAGTTCTTGTTTTAGTATGGATATTAATTATGATATATTTACAAGAAACCGGGGTCGCCCAAGGGCGACCCCTCCGTGATAACAGCACAGCCACATGCACAGAGTAGAAACACAAGAGAAAGCAAAAAAACAAATCGACTGAGGCACGGAGCGCCCGCCCCTTGGCCTTGGCGGCTGCCGTCGAGATGATGGAGAGGAACAAAGACCGAAGCAGCCCACGGAACCCAAAACCCAACCCCTGCGCGCGGGATCAATTAGGCACGCCACGCCGATGAGACAGGCCCGGCGGACATTCATGCGCGCGCGGGGGCGGAGGTGTTGCCAATGCCGTAACGAAGGCGCGCCCGACGTCGGCGAGCCCTCCCAGGCCCGCGCGCCCTGCTCGTCTTCGCTGGTCCCGCCGAGCTTGCCCAGGCAGTTTGGCTGGCCAGCTTTGGCGGCTCAGGCCTCCCTGGTCTGAGCTGCTTGCGTTCTCGCCTAAGGCTGGCTGCTCTCGGGTTTTTGGGTCAACGAGCGGGGGCTGCCCATCAATCCCACCTCGGCCCCCAAAGTGCCTCACGACCTTCCCAAGCGCAGCACGATCGACCTCCTCAAACACAGCACGACCCCCCAAACACAGCGCGACCCCCTAAGCACAGCACGGCCCCAGGCTACAACGTGGCCACGCAAACGCAGCGCGTCCCCCAAGCAAAACACGAAGCACCAAAATCACCACGGCCCCCCAAACTTATTAACACACCACGACCACCAAGAAGGCACACCATGACCCCCCAGGCATAGGCAACCCACTACGGCCCCCGGCAAACAGTATGGGCATGAGCATGGGGGCACAGCATGAGCGAACCCGTGCGCAAATTACTACAGACAGCCAGCCCCAAAAAGACAAAGAAAGGAAGCAACGAACCTCGCAGACAACACGCAGCCGCTGACGCACCAGCATGACCGCCAAAGACACAACACGAACCCCCAAAACAACACAGCACCCCCGACACAGCATGGACCCCAAAACACAGCGGGACCCCGAAGAGCACAGCACTACCACCCCGAACACGCCACGGCGACGACTAAGACACACTACGACCCCCAAGAACCAACCACCACGACTCCCAAACAAATGGCGACCGCCATACCTTGCTAGGCTTTCTCGCCTCTACATCATAAGGCCCCGCATGACCACGCACCAAAGCGCAGCCGCCTGGCCACGCACCAAAACACAGAGAGCATGACCCCAAAAGCACAGCGCCAAGCCTATCAGGGCGCACCGTGACCCCCTCGGCTCATTCTTGTGACCAAATGGACGCAGGCGCAGCACGCGACGACACTGAAAAAAGGGAGCCAGGCCACAAAGGGAGAAGGAATAGCCTGGCCCCATTTTAAAACTAAGCAAAGTCACAGCATGCCCCTCAAACAAAGAGCAGCGCGCAGCCTCCAAAGCTAGCACCACGACCCCGCACCCATATGGAGGACCATGCAAGGCCCCCGAAACACACCACGCGCACCATGACGCCCCGCGGCCCCGCCTGCAAAATGCGCATGCCTTCCAAAACATTGCGCGCCCCCCCGGGGACGAATTGGCCCCCCCCGCCCTGCACAGGCAGCACCAACCACCCCCCGAGCAGCACCCAAGCAAGACCTTAGGCACACAGTGACCCATGAGACACCGGCGACGACCCTCCAGCGCATCACCATCGACCCCCCGAAAAATGTCACGGCCACGGGCACGGCGTGACTTGCTTGAAGCATCTACACGACCCCAAAGGAATGCGGCACATGCATGCCATGACTGCGCCAACACCGCGCAGCCTCGAGAAACTGCATGGCCCCCAGGCAAGCGCTGCCGCCAGCATGGACGCCAAGGCCCTCACTCGATGACCCCCAAAGCGCACCGCGATCCTTGAAGACCACCGCGGCCAGATATTCACAACCACACACCGCGCGCCCCCAAAGTGACTAAAAAACGCGTGACACAAGGCGAAACATTGATGGCCCCCTGAAGCTGAACAAACACGACGACCACGAAAGCGCGCCGAGCTTCTCCCGGCTTGACGCTGACACACCACGACCCACCAAACACGCCGCGGCCACTTAGGTTAGACACAGCGGGGCCCCTTAGTAGAAACGCGGTTCCCTGAAGACATTGCGCTGCGAGCGAGCGTCTAAAACATCACAACGCGGCCCCTCAGGATAGGCATGCCATGGATGACCCCGAGCACGCCCAACGGTGGGCCATGCATCCTCCCAAGCTCCAGCGATCTTCTCCCAGACACACACACCCCCCGCACTCTGCGACCCCTCAGAGCCGCAGGAAAAAACACGGCCCCGCAGAATAATGAGAGGCACCACATTCATTGCCCCGGCCCCCAAGACAAAGCCTGGCCCTTGAAGCACAGCGCAGTCTAATGGACACCATTGCCGCCGCCAAGAGTCATGGCCCCCCCTGACACAGCGCGGAGGTGGACCCGGACAGCACCCAAGACATGACGCAACCCACCAGGCAACGCGTGACCCCCTAAAGCGCCGCAGCGCAACCCCCCAAGCGTTGCACCGTCCAAAAACGAAGCCGGACCTCCTGAGCAAACACAGCCTGAACCTTTGGGCATTATGTAGCCCCCCAGGCACAGCACAATCAACCCCCCGAGGGGACACAGCGCGACCCCCCAGGCATGAGGTGACCCCAAACACTCTAGGACCCGCCAAGCATGCCATGCGATGACCCTCCAGACACACCCTGACCTCCCCCCGGCAGGCACATGCCACGACCAAAAAGGCGCAGCGCGACTCCTAAAACGCCGAGCGAGCCCCGCAAACACACCACGAACGACCACCCCTGAGAGACAAACCACACCCCCCCAGGCAAACACAGACCGACGCCGCGACCTCTACACGCATGTCGGGGCCCCCGACGCATGCCAGGGCCCCCAGGTGACACTGTGACCAATAACTAAGGCGCATGAAGATGGCGCCCCAAACGCTGAGCGACCCCCCCAGCACACCATGAACCTCAAACATTGACCGACGCCCCGACCTCTAAACGCACCACGGCCCCCCGAACTCGCCACGGCTTAGCCTCCCCACGCAGCATGACCCCTGGGGTGCAGCTTGACCAAAGCCAAGCCCCCCGGTAGCAGCACGAGCAAACCCGCGAAAAGGACACAGCCAGACCCTCCAGGCACCGCATGGCCACACCCCTCCCCCAACACCACACTGCTGGACTTTTGGGGCACCGTATGCGTAGGCCCAATGCTACAGCATGGCCCCAAAAAGATAAAGCAAAGACGCCACCGCCCCGGTAAAATGGGGAGCACGAGCAGCGTGGCCCCCTGAAGAAACGGGCACGGCGCGAACCCTAAAGCCCAGCGCCTTGGGCTGTTTCTCTTTCTCATATAGAAATAGACGCGGCCAGCGCCTTCAAAATAAGAGCAAGAGGACCCAGCCACCGCGCGGGGCTTAATATCAAGAAGCCTGCGGAGCTTGGGGGGGCGCTGCCCGTCAGCTGCCAGACTTCCTCGGGGTTTTCTTCTCAGAGAGATACCACGGGGCCAGCCTCTAAAGTTGGCACTTTTTGCGGCTTCCTCCTCGCGTTGTCGGTTGTGACAGACTGGACGCAGGGGGCCTAAGGGGGTTGCCTGGGCGGAAGTTGGGCGCCGCGTTTCTATCTTGGTGAGATTGCCCACCCGTGGACTTCTCCGGCCGCACTCTCCTCGAAGAGCTAGTCGCGCGCCTACAGCTATGGCCCCCCACCCGCGTGGCTGGCTCTTACATTCGGCGCTCTATCGGCCTTGCGCCACGAAAGTCATCAAGCGGATGGGAAGGCGTGAAGGCGTTGCCAGCAGGTTGGCTCTCCTTCGCGTTAAGCGGGTTAACGCTAAGGCACCTCGCTCGCAGCCTCTGAACGCACACTGCCACGGAGGAGCTGCTTGACGCTAGTCCCCATATTTATTGTGGCGCTGGTTTTTCTGCAGTTTTCGCCGAGGCTCTCAAGCGTCGCCGCGTCTGATCTGGCGCGGAAGTTGGGAAAGGGGCAGGGGCTGCGCAGGTGTGGGCCCCCCTCCCCCCCTCTTGTTAGTCACAGCGGCATAGCCCGCAGCCTGTCGGCCGCACGCGGCACAGCCCGCATCGTAGAACGCTGAGGACGGAAAGCCATGCGTTTCCTCTATCAAAATCAGCACACAGCGCCAGCTGTTTCAATTTTTGAAACGTTAGCGGCAAGATTATGGCTTTCGGCTTTTTTCGTTATTCGATGTCGCTGAAAATGCTGAAGGTGGTCTGTTTAGTTCGCGGAGTATGAGCCCCAGGCACCGGAGTGGAGCTGTTTGGGGTTTGCTGTTGCTCTACTTCTTTCAGGGTTGTCGCGCGTGTTTGATGAGTGTCCTCTTCAGGCTGTGAAGCTGGTCGGTATTCATCGGAGTCAAGTAGGCCGCGCACCTCCAAGCTATGCGCTGCATCTCAAGCGAGCCCACGCGTCTTGCCTCGTGGCGGGGGGATTCCATCGGGGGGAGCGAGTAGCGCGTGGGAATTGCGATAGGGTTTGGGAGAAGTGGCTTCAGGCTTGCGGTCTTACGAAGAGGGTTGCGCAGGGGTTGGACAGGCACAGGGGTTGGACAGGGGTCGGCCCCCCTAGCCCCCCCCTAGGGCCCCCCTTCTTCCCCCGTCAATCCCTCAAAAAACCTCTCTAGAGTCTAGACTCTTTTGCGCATTAATAATAATATTGCTCTTTTAATATTGTTGGAACACCCGAACACGTCCAAGCGCACTACGAGGCTCTTGAGAGCAAATGGGATGATTATCGTTGCAATGTAACAGAAAGACGATCAGAACGGACGCGCCGAATGATCACTGACTGTCTAAGGCCTTGAAGTGATATCAGAATGGGTCCAATGTCATTGGGATATCATGAAGGGTCATAGTGCAGTTAAAGATCTGGGAGATCTTGCTGCTGATTCATGTTGGAACTCATTGAGTTCAAATGATGATCATGCGAAGAACTAACAAGAGTTCAAGACAAGGAACGGCATTGATCATGATCAAGGTGACGAGTGAGAGCAGTCATTTGGCATTGGAATCAGGTTCATTCATTGGATCTTGAGCCAGTAATGACCATTGGCCAACAAATATAAACAAAGACAGGCAACTTCTGGCTACTTGTGCTTTGCGTTTCCTTCTAATGTAAAACCTCGCGGGCACCACGGCTAAGGTTCTATCGGGTCTGCACGACAAGCGATCGAAAACTCCGGACTCGAACGAGCGGAGTCTAGAATTCCTTGCGGGCCTCGGCGATCTTGAGGGCATCGCTACAACCAGCGTCGCTGCGTGGAACGAGGAATCCTTACTAGAAACAGGACAGGACTCGAAGCTCTTCATCCGCGAATCGACGGCGATGCCGCAAACTGGCTCGGGGGAGAAAGAAACTCCTGCAGCTGCTTCGCTTGCGGATCTCACAGAGCCAATCTACCTGGGGTTGAATCTGAAAGACATTCTGCGGGCGATAGCCAAACTCGATAAGCCGCAGACAGTACTGGAGCCGGAAGAGCCTGCGTGGCCGTGGCCTCAACAAGACCAGGAGGCATCAGAGCACGATACGAAGGGAGCCGAACACTACCTCGTAAAACGGACCCTCCTCATTGCGGTCCTCGAAAAAGGGCAGCTCCATGGTAGTGCGAAGGAACCAGTAAAGTACAGCCAAGAATGGGAAGACTCGGCGACAACGTTTGCCACAAATATCCTCCGCATCGTTGCACTGGCAACATGGCTCGAGAACAGTGTTTGTCAGGTGTTGCTAGTCATGCTTCAACTTACGTCGTTTACACAGTAGCGCGAGAGGCAAGACCTTGTCGTTTCAAATGTAGGCGCGGATGATTATAGTAATGAGTGAGACAATGATATACTGTGATACAGATGCAGTTTCAGACGTTTAAGAGAGCTAAGGCCTAGTCAGGTTCCCACATGTTTTATATTTTATTTATGTACTCCGAATAAACAAAAAGCGCCCGCACTCATAATGACGTGGTTGACAGGCTAGGCACAAAACGAACTGAAAATCATACTTTCTTTTCATCAACAGGCCCAAGATCTCAATTTAAGTATGTAAAGTCTCGAAATTAATCGAAGTCCATGCGTAAGTTACTGACGACAAACTTCCTGAGTTTCAGACGCAGGCCGGCAGTATCAAGGGGTATCCCTTAACCTGGGACGGGTTTTAGAAAACGGCCACAGGAGCCACAGGCAGAGACGACGACGAGTGACTGTGTCTGTGCCTACGACACCAGGTGTGCACCAAGTAGACGACTATGTATTTGAAGCTTTAGCTTCGTCTGCTGTAGGTGTGGTCTTAAGATTAATGTGTAGGTCGTTGTTATGTTCGCAGGAAGATGCAGATAGTCGACCATAGAGCTGCTGAGCGGAGCATCTTGTGACGAAGACATCTAAATCTATAGAGCTGTGCTTTTTTATTGAGAGGGCCACTAGCACTAGTACTTTGATCTATTCCTCCACTCTTTCATCATTTCTATCCCCAGGTCCCGAGAAGAGCAAAAAAGTTAATTCCTCTAGAGTTGCAGCCAGCCATGACTTACAAGCGCTCCCATTTGTGAAGACCGACGAGACCGGTTCCAGGAAGCGCATTTTGAAACTCTTTCATGCGTAAACGGAGGCACTGGCTTGTTTACGAACAATAGTTATCGCGAGGACACAGAGCTAGCATAATAAAACTTGGTATACTACGATCAACAAAATGACGACGCGGAAGCAGATGCCCTCGAGTATCCCTTTCGTTGTCAACCGAAAGCGAAAGCTTTGGAGAGCTGTGGCCACTGTGTTGAGTTTCTCATCTTCCCTCACTACAACATCAAGGACATGGGCAACTACACACGTTATAAAACTTGGGAGTACAACCTCAGCCCTGAACAAGGACGATTCTCAAAATGCTTCCACGACGGAACCAGAAGCGCATCCACCACGGTCGCCAACGGAGGGAGTTCGGAACGAAACTTCTCCGCAGCCACAAGAGGAAGCGCATTCTGCAAGAGGAGAACAACAAGACGAAACTGAAGAAAGGGTCGTCGTCGTGGACAAGCAGCCCACGACTGGGTCAGCACAGTCTTCAGATAGTGCTGCTGAACCTGGACTCCCGATAGATGGGATGCCCCATAATGGACACGCACAAAGTGGCTTTGCTGAAGGATGGGTGCAATCTGGACACGAGGAATCTCCGCCCGATGGAACTGCTTCGGCTCTGCATGATAGTCCATTGAGTTTCTCGAAGCCAAGCCCGTCCTCGTCGAAGAACGTTTCAAACCAACAGCCACAACTCCAGCCGGATATGGCGAGCACCAGTTCCCTCGCTGTCCAACCGCCTGCGAGTGAAAAGCCCGGAGAGCACGGAGCTACTGACAAACACCATGCTATGATACATCTGCGTGGTCAAATGTTGAGCAGTCTAGTGTTCTAGTACCGACGAAACAAAAACTGCAACTGCATTTTTTCGAAGCAAGAGGCCAAACTAAAGTTCTCATCAAGAGCACCTTCCTCATCAACAAGAAAGCTTTCTTACTCTGTCACTTCCACCATATTTCTCTTTCTGCATAATTCTCTTGCTCATCCAGACTCCAGATGATAACGTCCTGACTGATGACGATCATGAAGATGGAGATGGTGATGGCGACAGTAAAGGAGCAGACTGTACGGAAAGCGCAGAGTCAGTCGCTACCTCTCTACCCACCAGCAGTGGTTGAAAACTTGGGCGGGCCGCTGCTCACTTCCATCGTCGCCGGCGCAGTGACCGCTCTTGGCTACCTTCCAGCGATACAGCAATTGGAAGGCCTAGATCCGTCAGCGAGTGGCGTGGATGGTGGCGACGACTTGATGAGAAAGATATGTGCGTTCGGCGGAACACCCGGCGCAGGATACCTCGCGATCTACTTGGCTGACAAGATGGTGAGTAAAGCGAAGTGTGCCAATCTAATCGCAGGGACGAAAGGCGCCGTCGGGTCTCGCATCCTCGACATGATGCGGTGCATCAATCGAGATTGGTTAGAAGTGTACCCAACGGATGAGGACGGAGAATTGAAAATAGACTTGAGCGACGACTCACTCGACTAACCGATCACCACGAAGTCGGGGCGACAATTGTTGACGCCGAAGCAGGAACGCAGGGAGAGGCTACGGCAAGGGAAAGCACTCCTGTACTTCTGGAAGCGATTGAGCGGATGTTCCTACAGCGAGTCCGACACCGAGATCGTGGAGAACATGAAGTGGAGACTGAAAAGACTGCGTGCAGCGAGCACCTGCGTAATTAGGAATGACGCTGCTCCTGAAGCTCAGAATGAAGATCGAGAGCCGATCCATTTCCTTGTAGTCTTTTATGGCCCCCTTGTTGTGTACTTACGTCGTCTAGCAAGAGGTGAAGTTCATCGCACTGCAGAAACGGATAGAAATAGGTCTCGATCTTGCCGCCTTCTATCTCCCTTCTGTTAACGCAATCTGCGAAGGACTATTTTGTAGTGTGAGGCGTCGGCGTAATCTGGGTTTTTCTTTCGAAGATAAACCTTTTAGTGCAAAACGAATGGAAGGCTTCGATTTCTCTTTCTAATTTTTGCGAGGATGGAGACGAGGATGCTAATCCAACTGTAGGCGAAGGTGTGAAGATGCCCGCGGGGGCACAAAAGCATAGCGGGAAGATAGATGTAACAGGATCCTGCATGACTGCGGAACGCACAGATCGAAGCAGTGAGCGAACCGCTACGCGATTATCGTTGCAGCGATCCAGACAACACGGTGGTGAAGCTGAGGAACAAGAAGAGGAGCCACCAAATTGATTCTACAGTTTCAGCATCTTCGAGTGCTGGCGTTGGAGCAGGTGCTACTGCAGCTGCAGTGACGTCTTCTGCAGGCCACCTACAGCCACCAAAGCTGCCTATTTCTGAGCTTAGCAGCAGCACAAGAAAGAAGTCTACCTCTGGGACAAGCATTGGGGGACTCCGACTTGGTGCTAGAAGGGGACGAGCTCCCAGGAGCAGATCCAAATCCGACAAAGTCCGGCCAACGGACGAAGATGGGGCTGGGGAGGCGAGTATGGCCATGGCTGACATAGCTGGTTGCACTAGAGGAAAAACGAAGTCTAAGCCTCGAACGATGGGGATTCTTTCGGTCTTGCCCTCGAGTCTGGAACTTCAAGCTGAAGATCTGGACGATTTTGAGGCCGAAGATGATGATCTTGAGCAGGATCCTGCTATTATGAAGGCTTTGTTGGACATGGGCGGCCTCATCGTCAACGCGCAACGACACATTTCCGGCAGAGGCGTGCTGACGAAAAAGGTTATGGTGATTTCTTCACCGACGTAGATCTACATCTGTACTAGAAGTTGACGCTGCTTTGAATTTTTCTTGTCTTGCAGCTGCGCAGCTGCATCTAAGATCCATGACTGCGTGAGCGCCTAGCTATGCTCTACTTATTTGTGCGCGGGGGAAGCATAACAAGGTCGACAAACTTAATAGAGAGATCTTCATTTTGACTTTCTAATTAAGTTCTAAGCACGTCAGAGCTGTATGATGAGAGCGCCAGAATCTGAGTCCGAGGTTTACTCATCCGTGCGGCAGTAGCCGGCTTTCTGCTCGCGATATCGGACGCGCAATCGAAGAAAGCGATGGCTGCTGAAGTGGTTTTTGCAGCCTTACTTGGGCTACTAGCCCCCATCATGGCCGTGGAATGTCCATTGGATTACCTGGGTGCGAAAAGTGAAGCTTTGTTCTCCTTTGCGACGCTTGCAGCTCACTGCCCACATTCCCACATCCCCACAAAGTACCAACTACCTTGTCACGCGGATGTTTGTTCGGACATATGCAACACCGAACACCCGGTCTCGATCGCGCCCTTATGGCAATGACTGGAACAAAATCTTGAATATCACCATCTAAATATATAAGTATTTTGAATTATTATATTACAAGGACTTACTTTTCACAAAGGAAAATATAATGTCATGTGCTTCCTGGTCCACAGCCCTCTTCTATATCCATGTGTTTTTACAAATAAAGTGGTCGTGTTTAAAGAACTGATCGGAGTAACGCTAAGCCTGACCGCGGGCACGATCGTTGGTGGTTTTGGCGGGTCAATGCTCAGCGGCGCAATGCTCAGCAAACAGACAACGCGTCCTATGCTTCTCCTTTCATATATCTGGCTTCGCTTTTGCAAGCGCGTAGGAGTGACCCAACGTTTCAGCAGGATGCAGTCGGCAAGGGAGCGAAGCTGAAGGAGCTTTACCAAGTTGGTTACGCTCAGGTGCTTGCAGCAAAGCAGGACAGAGGCCGTGGGGAAGTAGTTCTAAGATACTGTAGTTGAAAATTTTTGACTTTCCTTTTGTGGTTAGACAGCAAGTCATTCACAAAGGGGAGTGGATATTTATTCATAAGACGGCTTTGATTTTGTGAGACATCGACTGGCTTCCTGAAGTGGGACCTTCTGCGTTGGTAGGAAAAAGATGGTGGATGAAAAGATGATCGATATACATGCAAATCTCTAAAAGTACAGCTTGGAGAGCGGCGAAGAGCGCGACGGAATCGAGAAGACATGGACATGCGGGAAGGGAAGGCAGCAGCGGAAGCCCGAAGGGAAGCGCCCCCCCTGTCTCCGTCTCGGCAGCGACGTGGCGGGGGGGGCCGCAACTCGCTGACAAGACAGACAGCGAGGCGCGGCAGCTGTCATTCGCGTGGGCGTTCGCATGGACGTGGCAGAGCCGAGGGGAGCACGCGGGGGGCGTCTCGTTATGGTCAAAATCTGTAGCGTAGTGAGGCTGCGTAGAGGCATTGTGTGTGCTTTGTCGTTTTCCTAGTGAAACATGGGGTGAGGGGCGTCCCATCCCAGGGCATTCTTGGACACGGCTTTGCTTCTAATGTGAGAGACGCAGTGGCGATCGACGGGCGCGTAGGTCGCGTTCACGCGGGAGGAGTCGAGAGCGCCTGCGGTCAACTTCACGCGAAGAAGAAGTTGGACCAAAAAAAGCTCCTGGACTTTTTGCCAAGGTAAAACGTGTGATTCCTGGTATAGACTTCTCGACTTCAGCAGTCGCATCATCTTCTAGTTCCATGCGTCCTAAGTCTCTGCCGCGGAGACAGAGAGGAAGAAACTATGGCGACCTCACTGGTGCTGGTGTTGGTAGTTCAAGATCATCTCCACCGTCTCCGGGACATGCTCGTCCGTCCGGTAGTCTAAGTCTTGCACGTCCTCAGACACAGCATAGTAGTCCAAGTTCTCCACGTCTTTTTTTCGATTCTGGGCCAGCTCCGAAGGGGCTCGGCATCACATCGTTAGCAGAAGCGCCTAGCCCCTTTAAACCGCCTCCGAAGGGACTCGACATTGCATCCTTGTCGCTGCCCACTGCTTCTGCTGCTGTAAGAACTGTAAGAACGCAACCGGCCAGCTCCAGTTCGTCTTCTGCAGTACAACCGGGGAACAGCTTCAGTTCGTCTTCTACAGTACAAGCGGAGAACAGCTTCAGTTCATGTTCTACACTACAAACGGGGAACAGCTTCAGTTCGTCTTCTACAGTACATGCGGGGAACATCGACCGACCTCCTCCTACTCCTCCTCCTGCATGGGCTTTTCTACATCCTGGCGATTCTCTCACTGTGATGGACTTGAGCAGCGGAGTGCCTAGTATAATCTTCACGGGAACGCTTGTTCTGTCACATGTCGCTAGTGGCCATGCAGTCGTCGGTTGCTACACCTCCAAGGTAAGCACTGCAAACAGCGAAATCGTACAGAAACCGGCTAGTAAAACAGCTGTAGACAATCGCTCCGCTGCGGCTGTGGCTTGGTCCACTAGTTTCAAGAAGAAGAAGCGCATTGCGATGTTACGATCAAAAATTCTCTTAGTAGTCCTGGAGTATGTTTTTGACCGATGAAAGACTGAACCAAGAGTAATCGCGACTTCTGAAGAAACTATTGATTCGAAGAACTGTTCTTCAGGGGGACCATTTTTTAATCATAGCTAGGTGCTTGTAATTGTTACTACTCGAGAAGTGATGCAGCGATAAAGCACTAATTTCCAGCGACGGCGAGGAGGGATTTGTCATCTTCTTTTCGATACCATTCGATCGCTTCATTCCTTGCCGTATACCCTCAGACACGGATCCGGTGAAGTCCGGATGTCTGTCCAAGTTATGGCTTTTTACTGGTAGAATATTTAACATCTAGAACATCTTTCTAAGTACTTAGCTGGATAGTACTAGCAGATTTCCTACTCCGCATGAAGAACCCTGATGCAATCAGGTAATCAGTTAAGGAGATGATTTTTTTTTGAAATGTCAAATCAGAACCACAGTGAAGTCGCTGCTTACAAAAACAACAAAAGAGGCGTGCAGTATCACTCTAATCTTAGCCATGTTCGATAAAGTGGTCATCGATAAGACAGCCAAGATGATCGAGAGTCTTTGCAGGGATGAACCGTTTCCAGCGAAGAGAAGACGAGTTACGGCTTCTGAAACGAAGTCCAGTATTTCTCCTGTTTCGGAGACGAAATAGGACTCTGATGATCTTTCTTACAGTTGAAGAATTTTTTGCTCATCGTGGGCAAGCTAAACCCATATTTATTACAATACAGGACATGTGCGGAGAGCAAAATTAAAGATCAGACAACAGCCGTTTCTCCCACTCACAAGATCGACCTGAAGCAAGACAACTGGAGGAGGCAAATAGTGCGCAGCAAAATAGTGGAGCTTGCCGGCAAACGAGAGAAAGCGAAGGCACATCTGGAGAATTACAGAAAAAGAAACAAGAACCAGCATTATCAGCAATCAATTAGTTCTCGTGCTGCTGAAAACAACTTCAACACCCTCCTAGTGGAAGATAAAGCAAAAACTTATCTAACCCGACAAAGTAGTACTAAACAAGAACAGCAGAAGCCCCCATCTCTCACCTCTGTACATAATGACAAGCAGTCAAATAAGGTCGACAAGGACAAGGAAGTTAAGAGCAGTGAACAATTCAGGATCCCTACGAATGTGGAAAATCCCCCCCCTCACCGGGCACGGTAGAGGTGAAAGTCAAGCAGCAAAGAATCTCCACGACACCGCCATCGCGAACGATATACGGTGGGCCACGCTACTAGTGGACAAGGAGATCGATAATTTGTTCCTGTTGACTTGTGGAATGATGAGGAACAGCAAAACAATGAAGTCATTCACAGGGAGGACGCAGGGGTGAACGAAGAAGGGGATTGCCAGCCACAATTGAGTGCGCCATCATCTAGACTACACGTACATCGTAAACGATCAGGAAACGATCTTTACCATGTGCAGATGGAGGAATCAGATTCATTGATCTGTGGCTGCAGGTGCGGTAAGTGTAATCAATGAATAGCAACTACTTTCTGTGCTTGAAGAATGCCATGCTCACTTTGCAAGAAAGAATTGAAAGGCACTCGAGCTTGTCCAATGAATCCGTTGGAGTCAATGTTGGATGCCCTAGTTTTGTATCGTGAGAAGTAGTGACCTTATTATGAATCAAGGACTTTTTAGTTGAGAAACAGGCTTTTCTGGTAGAAGACGTGAAGAACGACCCGTTTGTCTTTTTTTGTAAGATCATTACCGCCGTTTCCAATCACAAATTGAAGAACATGTGAACGACCACGAATGTGGCATCTACGTTGTTGTAAGATGGGTTTGAATTGAAATGCTCTGAGTAAGAAAATCTGTAGCAGTCTGCTCCTTTGTTCCCCGGTCGAATCAAGTAGACCAAGACAGAAATAAAACGCAGTAAGATCAATCTGAACCCTCTGGATTTTGTGCATGATAAAAACCAAAAACCTAACACATGCGCAAACATGTGATATCAAACTTTAAATTCCCCTACAAACTGATGCCAATATAATTGTGTATGCTCCTTATCCATACAGGATACTGCTAAGGAGCCTCAATGGCTTTTTTATTGGTATTCTTTTCGTTGATAGTCAACAAATTCAAAAATGACGGATTAATACTCTTCAACTTTTCCCTGTGTTCTCTTTCTTAAATACGGTGACACGACACGTGAGGAATGTGACTACCCCAAAGATTGCTCCTTCTGGGCCTCGGATTGCACATTTTAAGAAATCTGTCATTACATCAAATGGCCACATGTTGAATCAAGAAGAAATGACGCAGACCGTTGCGTATTCAATTTTAGGGGATCTTATTCAATTTTAGGGGATGTTATTCAATTTTAGGGGATCTTATTCAATTTTAGGGGATGTTATTCAATTTTAGGG